GGTTTTGTGATCTACATACAATCTGACAATACTCGTCAATCCTCTTGACAGAGAGCCAAGGTTGTAATGTTTTAAACACGCTTTGCATCCTGCAACGTATTTAAAGTAGATCAGTGTCATAAATTTGGATCAAATAGATACCACATGGGTGCACAACAATACTCGCAGTGTCTAGGCGGGAGGGCTGGAGCCGACTGGGGCATGGGGGCAGCACAGGGGCCACTGACCACACTGGGCTTTTATCTCAAGGAACTGGTGGAGAAGCCTGCCTTGTGGGTCTGGCTGGCCTTTGAGAGGATACCAGGCCCAGTCCAGCTGCTGGGGGTGGTGGTGGACATTAGCAAACTTCATAGGCTGAGAGGCTATGGTGTCAGAAAGGTGTCTGTCCCTCCAAGTGGGTCAGATCTCTGGGGTGAAGCAAGGAAGCTCATGTTGGGGGCCCATCAGCTACCCCACAGGTCCCGCTCACATCCTGACCTCAAGAGGCAGTCACATGTCCCCTGTGTCAGCTTGGCATCCCCAGCTGCTGGCACTGTTTCTCCCCAGGGTAGTGGGGGAGGGCAAACTCATCTTCCTAGTCCCTGAGACCAAGCCACCCTTCATGTTAGTGCCTCCTCCCTGGGCCTTACTCCAAGCAGAGAGCACAGCATGGAGGAAAGAATTAAAGGGAGGACTGATGGGCAAAAGAAGGGAGGTGGGGGAACAGTCTTCCACATCCCAGAGAAACCATTAGTAGGCGGAGGTTGGGAGGGTTGGTCTGTGCAGTTAGCTTAGCCTGGAGTGAGTCCCCTGAGCAGACATTCAACTTCTGCACCAGGGTGCAAAGACAGACTAGCCACAGGGCTTGGACTGATGAGGCCTGGTTTCTAATTCCAGAATGGCGGTTTACCAGCTGTGCAACCTTGGGCAAAGTATTAACCTCTCTCATTTATACAATCAGGATAATGATTGTATCCTGTAACCACTGAGCCATGGTAAGAACTGAGTAAGTTTGAAAAAATGAACTTTCTAAAGTAGAGATGTGAAATATTGCTGCACTGCCCAAACATGAAAAGTCGCTTCATCTCAAGATTCAGAGGGGAACAAACTTCTGCCTGACCATGGTGATCACTGGTGTCAAGACATTTGCCATCCTGGTGAGGCTGGGGCAATGGGAGAGGCACTTGTAGCCTCCCAAGGAATGACCTCAAGTCCTTGGTGACGGGCCATCTGCTGCTGGTCGTAGTTCCCAGTGCCAGCCCTCTGGCCTTTGGTGGACTTGGAGGCAGTGGAGAGTTGGTGGCAAGATAAGGGTCCCAGCAGATAAAGGCCAGCACAGAGGAAAGGGTGCCCAGACCAGACATGGGCTGTTGGCTTTGTAAGGCTAGTGGCTCCAGTGGCACCTACTGAAAAGACTCAGTGATAGGTTGGGAGCGGTGGAGGCAATGGGAACCTTCCAGTGACCCAGAGAGGCGGTGATGAGGCATGATGGCCTCACAGCCCCTCAGATTCCATGAGAAGAGGCCACTGGAGAAGAGCAGAGAGGGTGGTTTGGCTGAGAAAGAAGGGTTGGGAGGCAAGAGTCCAGCACGAAGGGGAAGGGTCTTCTCTTCAGTGCCTCGTGAGACCTAGGAGTGGGGATGCTTCTGACAAGCCCTGGATGTGGATGGAGAAAAGACGTGGACGAAGGTTCAAGGAGACAGAGCCTCCTCTCAAGGTCAGGGCTCAAGGCTCAGAGCTGCTCCTCTCTTAAGGGCATAGAGTCAACTCTGTCCCCATGAAGCTATGGCTTCCCTGAGCTGGAAGGGATTTTAATCCAGTCTCCCAGCTGATACAGAGACTTCTCTAAACACATTCTGGACCAGTCATTATCTAGCCTCTAATTGAACACCTCTGGTGACCAGAACTCCCTCCCACCTTCCCAAGGTATCTGGCAATTAGGAAGCTCCCTCTTCTGGAGCTGGAATTGCTCTTCTCGTAGAGTTTATTCATTGGCACTTGCTCTACTTCTAGTCATGCAAAAGAAGTATGATCCTTCTTCCGCACTAGAGCAGGGAGGCTCTGAGTAAATCTCCCGCGTCCTGGGGACAGGAAGTGCTCCCCCATCAGCAGGGCTACACTGGTCTTCTCTGCAAATTCAATGTAGCCTGGGTTAAATGTTTCTTCCTACAATCTGAGTCTAGGATCGCCACTCTCCCGGGACAGGCCCTCTAGCATCAGGACACCCTAACCCCAAGGAGAGGATTCTCCGTACTCAGGACAGCAGACCCCATGCCCCTTTCTGGATGAATCAGTCTTGCAGTTTGCAGCAGAATGCAGACACCTGTCATGGTATAATGCCAGCCAAGGGCATCGCCGTGATGCCTGGAGACCCTCTGCTGCCCTGCAACTCCTTCACAGCTTGAAAGAGCTGGCCCGGCTGCTAATGAAAAACCGACCCCGCGTTGCACCAGGAGGCAGTAAATTTTATGAGTCTGTGTGAGTGGATAGAGGCAACTGCGGGGGCTGATTTCCACTTCCTGATACAATACAAATGTCTTAGTTTATGCAGAACTAATTAAAGATCTCTCAGGTCTTGCCATTTCATTCACCAGGCACCCATAAAGCCATGTGGTTATGGCAACCTCCTGACTGCAGCGTGCGAGGAATGTCCTTTGCAGGGAGTGATTCTTCCCCTTCCAACATTTCTGCCCCTCTCCTGCTGCTGCCTTTCCTTCCTGCCTCTTTTCTCCTCTTGGAAGGCTCTAGCAGCTTCCCAGCCAGGGTCTGGAGGGCAGGGTTGTGCTCTTTACAGCAGGTGGTACCATGGGAAGGACCCAGACCTGGAACTGAACTCCTGCTCTGCCACTTATGAGCCAGGAGACTTTGGACATGCTCCAGTGCTGTAGTTTGAATGTGTCCCCCATAGGTCTTGTGTTGGAAACTTAATCCCCAGTGCAACAGTGTTGAGAGGTGGGACCTTTAGGAGGTGATTAGATTACGACAGCTCTGTCCTCGTGAATAAATTAATGTTGCTGTCGTGGGAGTGGGAGTTATCACGGGTTAGTTATTGTGGGAGTGAATTAGTTATTGTAAGAGTGGGTTATTGTGGGAGTGGATTAGTTATCGTGGGAGTGGGTTTGTCATTGCAGGAGTGGGCTAGTTATCATGGGAGTGGTTTAGTTATTGTGAGAGTGGGTTAGTTATTGTGGGACTGGGTTGGTTATCATGGAAGTGGGTTAGTTATTGTGGGAGTGGGTTAGTTATCATGGAAGTGGGTTAGTTATTGTGGGAGTGGGTTAGTTATCGTGGAAGTGGGTTAGTTATTGTGGGAGTGGGTATGTGATTGCGAAGAGTGGGCTTGTTATAAAAGTAAACCCAACCTTCTCTTGCTCATGTTCTCTCGCCCTCTCCCCAGCCTTCTCTTGCTCATGTTCTCTCGCCCTCTCCTGCCCTTCCACTGTCCACCACGGGATGACACAACAAGAAGGTCCTCACCAGATATGGGCCCCTTGACCGTGGGCTTCCCAGCCTCCACAATGGTAAGAAATAAGTTTCTGGTCTTTATAAATTACCCAGTCTGTGGTGTTCTGTTATAGCAACATGAAATGGACCAAGACACACAGTTTTCTCATTTTTAAAATAGGAGAATAGTCATACCAGCCTCACAGAGTGCTTTTAGGGCTAAAAATAAAGCAGTTTGTGTTGAAAGACAGTGCCTGGACCATAGTATGTGTTCAGTAAGTAGTGACTACCATAAAATTATTATTGCTATTATAGTTATGGTAATGACTGCTTCTGGATCTTTGCTCAAATTGTTTACCTATCTAAAATATTGTTTCCATTCATATTTTCTGGTTGAAGGCCCACAGTGGTAGATTAAAAATGGCCACAACCGGGCGTGGTGGCTCATGCCTGTAATCCCAGTATTTTGGGAGGCTGAGGTGGGCAGATCACAAGGTCAAGAGATTGAGACCATCCTGGCCAACATGGTGAAACCCCGTCTCTACCAAAAATACAAAATTTAACTGGGCGTGGTGGTACACACCTGTAGTCCCAGCTACTCAGGAGGCTGAGGCAGGAGAATCACTTGAACCTGGCAGGCGGGTTTTGCAGTGAGCTGAGATCGCGCCACTGCACTCCAACCTGGTGACAGAGTGAGACTCTGTCTCAAAAAACAAAAAACAAAAAAACAAGGCCACAAATGTTTTCTACTCCTCCAATGAATAAGTAGAGCCTAAGACTCTTCCCACACCAATAAGACATTAGAAAATGTGATACAAGCAGATATGTGACAAGTCTTTATGCACTGGGACCTGCCCATTTTGAATGCTGCCCTGGATCTGCTGTGCTGTAAAGAAGTCTGTCTAGCTTCCTGGAGGATAAGAGGCCGTGTGGAGAACAGGGGCCCCCAGCCCACAGCCAGCATTGACCACCAGACATGTGAATGGGGCCATCTCGTCCCCTCCCATCCTTCTATCTGTCATTTGGTGTGACTGCATGAGTGAGGCCAGGTGAGAATAGCAGAATTCCCAGACTGTCAATCCACAGAATTGTGACAGAGAGTCAGTAAACTTGGAATGGTTTGTTACGCAGCAATAGATAACTGATACCTCCACCCATTCATCAAGGTTGAGTTCTCAGGCTGTCTTCTCCCAGAATATTTCCCAAACTTCTCTCAGTCTGAAATTTGTCTCTCCACCTCCTTTAATCACGCCGTGCCTTATGACAGTAGCACTTAATAAAGTCTGCCTTCACTGGGGTTATTTGTGCAGGAGTGCTTCTGACTCTCTGGCCCGTGAGAGCTGGACCCCTCCATGTCCTACATCCTTGCTCAGCACAGAAAGAACTCTGCCTAGCTGGATCCCAGTAATCTGGCTCCCACTTATCAGGCCCTCGGGGGGCCAGTGAGAACCTGGCCTGCCTCTGTACAGGCACAGCCATCTAGGTTGGAAGGGAGAGACCCTCTTGGGTCTGAGGTCCAGTAGGCCACTGCTTTGTCGAAAGTCCTGCCCCACTTGGATCCTTCTCCTCCATCTTACCTTCCGGCCGTGGTAGCCCTGGATCCCTGGGTCTCCCTGGGGAAACAAAGAGAAGGCCATTAAAGAGGTTTTCCCACTGCCAAACTTTGACTTGTGCTGTTCCCCACGCAATACCATCCCTCTTCCTCTCAATGACTCCAAGCCCCACTGCCCCTTCAACACTCATCTCCAGGTTTCCTAGGAGCAACAGCTCTTAGCTTCCTCTGAGGCCAACACAGATTGTTCCACTCTTGAGAACCAGCTCCACTTTGCAGAGGCTGAGGAATGGTGGGAAGAGTCACTTGGGTAGGGACCCAGGAGACCTGATTCCACTGAACATGGACAAGCCACTTTCCCCCAGGGCTCTCAGCTTCTGCATGTATAAAATAGTTGGGCACAATCAGTGCTTGGCATCTTCTTGTCCCCAGAGCCCCAGGGTCCCCAGCTTCAAAGGGAGAGCCTGTTTGACATTGTGGGCTTCTGGGTGAGGGTTCCCTGGAGACTGGATGACCCTAGAGGTCTCTTCCCATTCTGACACCTTATAAAACACTATTTTATTTGGATATTGTGACGGTGTTCTGGGCATGAGCTTAGAGTTTCCAGCTAGACACTATGCTCCTCAGAGGGTGGACTGTGCCTTCAGTGCAGGCCTGTAGCACTTGCTTCTTTGGCCTGGGCACACAAGAAGTGAAATTCTTGTTGGAATCAAATTAGTTCCTAAGAAGCGGGTGGTGCTTTGGAAGCGGGTCAAGCTTGATCCATCTCTCAGCTGAGATCCCTCTCTGCTCCTGCCTCAGTCAGGGAATTCTCCCACCTGTTCAACATATCACCCAGAAGGACACTCACCTTTGGTCCAGGAGGCCCAGGTAAGCCCTGTGAAAGCAAAAAAAAAAAAAAAAGGTGAGTAGAGCTGGTTTCCACTGGTAAATGGCTGGGGCTAGCCATGCTTACAGTGGATCCTAGGGCCAGAGTAGCCCCCAGTAGCTATGGCAAGAGAATAGGCATGCTAGCCAACAGCGGTAGTGGACCCCAGAAGGGGATCTGAAACCTGCTGAGGGCACGTGGGGATAACAGGCTTATGTCCCTCTTTGCAGCCATGTGGGCGCCATGGGCAACTCTGCTGTCCTCGCCCATGGAAAGTAGGTCAGTGGCATCATGCTAAATTGACAGTGTGGTTTGGTCCAGATCCTCATTCACCCACCTCCTAATTGGAACCCCTCCCTAGAAAGCCGGCCTTGCCCAGCAGAGCCTTGGTTTTGCCCTTGGTCCTGCCTGCCGGTGGAGGAGCCCTCTGTCTCCTTCTGCCCAGGGTGCTGTGGGCATGGCAGCTGGCCACAGTGAGATGGTGTGAGTCGAGGGAGAGGCCAGGGAAGGCTGGCTCCACCGCAGCCTTGGGTGTAGGTGTGGACAGCAAACGTGGGCTGGAGAAAGCCATGATGCCTGAGTCTGGTCTGTTGCAATTAGTTTAAGAAACATGCTTTCTGGTTTTCTTTTTTTGGTTGTTGTTGTTGTTATAAACAATCTAACAAAGAAAACCACCTGGCTTGGGTTCAGTGAGTGAGAGCCCAAAGTGTTAGCAGGGGGGTGGGTGGAAAGGGCAGTGGTCAGCAAAAAGTGAATTCTGAGCGCTTTTTGGTTTTCTTGCCTTAGTTTGGTTCCGTTTCCTAAGTTTCCCTTCCTTTCAGGTTTTCCCATCTGAAAACTGGTGGAAATAAGACTAATCCCCCTCTGTGGGGTGCTGGGGAGAAATTGTGGAAAAATTAAAAATTCATTGTAGGGGTCAAGCGTTGCAGGGGTCATTGTGCTGGCCTTCCCAGCCACGGTGGGTGCCCTGTTCGGCCATAGCTATGGCCCAGCCCAAGGAGACCCTATAACAAGCTTCGAGATTGAAAGCTGGGCAGTCAAGGGGCCCAGACATGCAACCAGGCCATCTAGAATGTGGCCGTACACACGGAGTGCTATTTGTTGGGGACATCTGGCCTCTGAGATTCCACCTCTGGGACTCTATTCCAGCAAAACTATCAGAGATGCGCACAAACATTATGTTTCTTTGTCTATGTTCCATTCTTTTCACAATGAATTTATGGTGCTTTTGTCATAAGAAGGAAAAACAGGTTTTGTTTTGGTTTTTCTACCACATGGGAAAAACATTATTTAAAAAGCATTTTGCCCTTTACCTGCCTCTCCAATAACATTAGTCTTATGGGTGGGAGGAAGACCCGTTTTATCTGAAGTCCAGGTACCCACTGAATTATTCTATCCTGGGGCTTTGTTGTATAAATTGGGCTGAGAAAGAGTGGAGTCTTAGTCAGGGCTTGAACATGGGTGACTTGGTGACCACTGGGCTTGACCTGTCACTTGAATGTGGTCCAGCCTGGAGGGGTGCCAGTTGGCCTCTCTGGAGTCCTCCAGGCAGTGGCCCTGCAGGCCCTGCAGGCTTGATGCATCCTCAGGCTTGGCGCAGGGCTCTTGGCTGACTGGGCCTTCAGCTCAGCTGGCAGGTGGCCCGGCAGTGTGAAGCCTGCACACACCCCTGGAAGTCTTGTTCATTGGGGTGCCAGGTAGTCGGATGACCCCTCACTACCTCCTTCAAAACCCACTGCCCCTGACTCAGGTTTTCCTAAGGGGCTCAGGGATAGCCATCAGAAGTGCCCTTGGGAATTCTCTTTCCAAATTCTTCTCTGCTGGGGGTGGGAACGGGGCAGGTCATTGGCGGTCTCCTCCCTGGAAGGCAGCGGACATGGCCCAGGCTGTGTTTCAGAGCCAGAGTGCAACGGGTGGTGAGTGTGCTGGGGATGAATAGCCCCTTGCGTGGTTCACCCACATCCAATGGCCCTGCCAAGGCATTTCTGCTTTTTGTAGGGGACCCACTGCCTATTCAAGGTTTGGAGGTTTCCAGAGAGTTCTTGGGACAAGTCTTGAAGGAGAGAGGAAAGGAATACTTACGGGTGGCCCCATGGGCCCTGGCAGTCCTGGGTGCCCCAGAGGTCCACTTGGTCCAGGGGGGCCTGGGGGCCCTGGTGGACCTTGGATGCTGGCTTGGCTCTGTTCACCCTGAGGTTCATGGAAACAAATGTTAGAGGGATGGCCCCCAGCGCTGCAGACCGGCCCCCACCCTCAGGCCATGCACCCGGTGAAGGCCTGCTGTGATTTCTGCTGGGAAGGCAGTGGTGGTGGGGGGAGGAGGGGGTGGCATGTTGGTGATGATGCTGTGGTAGTGGTGATGACATGCAGAGGCTGGTGGCAGTGAGAAGAACGCCAAGATGTTAGATCCCTGAAGGTGGGGCTTCCAAAGAGGACTGGCTGCGGAGAGACATTCTGTAGGGGCAGAGGCAGAGGAGCGGGTGGGAGACAGCTCCTGGCCCAACCAAAGGCCTGCTCCCAGCCTGGCCAGATAGCCTGAATCTTCAGCCTGGGCCTGCCTGTGTCACCCTCCCTGTGTGGTGAGGCACAGGTCTCCCTAAGCCCCAGCCTCTCAGCCGTAGAATGGAAACAATAGCCCCCGTTTCCTGTCTCAGCTTTTTGCTGTCTTTGACTGTCTGACCCAGAGGATCAAATGGGATCCTTAGGTCAAAGCCCATGGAATTTTGTTTGGCTCACTAAACAACGGAGCAAGAGACTTTACGTACAAAATTTGAATTGGTGGCTTCTGATGAAACACTGGGAACCCTGGCTATGCTGGGCCCACATTCCTATGTCCAGGGAGTGGCTGCCCGTTAAGTGGGGCCTGAGTTCTCTGGCTGCTTTTGTCCTCTCCCTCCTAGCCCTTCTCACACACAGCCTGCTTCTGTTACTTAGGTGATCTGCCTGGCCTCGGAGGGCAGTTGAGCCTGCAATCTTTGGTTTCATTGAAAGAGTTTAGAAGTTGTGTGGAAATGCTTTATGCTGTGTGGGGAGGCTGTTCTGAGCCCAGCCTTCCCACCATACCTGTCCCCAGGATGGACTGTGAGCCCAGGGAGGTAGGGATAGCATCATGATCCCCCAGGAGGAGGAGACGGCCTAGTGCACGTGACCCAGATCTCAGGGCTGGGGCAACACAAAGTCATCTTAGATCTAAACCAACCCTGGCTCCTTGGTTTGTTATTTTCTAAACGACCTCTCTGGGATCAATCTGGGCTTAGCTCTTGTGAGGAGGGGCCCATCCCTGCAGATGGGCTGAAGCAGAACCTCCTGGCAGGTGTGGGAGCTCCAGGGTAGAGGCTGGGGGATGTAGGCGGCCAGAGTTCCAGGCCGGCCCAGCTTTCTCAGAGGATCTCAGCAAGCCCCTATGACACACCGGGACTCCTGCTTCCCCATGTGAGGAAGGCAGCTGATGATGCTTGCTGCAAACTCTAGAGGGAAGTGGTGGTCATAAATAGGAGAGCACAACCTGGGAATGAGAAACGTAAACTTTCAGCAAGACCTGCTTGCACCATCTTTTGACTGGAAAACCTGTGGGCGGATGGCATCTCGCAGTGTCACTCTGGGGCCTGGGCCCTATCCTGCCACACCCTCTGAGAAACCACTTTAGGGCTCAGGGTGTCCATGGCAGAGGAGGCAGGTGCTGAAATCACTTTGGCGGCTGCCATGACTGCAGGTCCCCCACCTAGCTGCATGTTTGTTGTTGATAAGTCTCAGGTGTCAGTGTTTCTTCTGAACCGAGAAAGGCTTCACTAAGCCTCAGGCCTTAAGAGGGGACCAGTGCAGCCTCCTTTTCAACCACATTAAATCTGGTTCCGCTGCTTGGGTCCCAGAACCTCCTCCGAATCCTGTACTTTGTGTGTTTATATTTTTCATCGGTTTTCTACATTCACAAGATGGGGGAAGCTTAGTCTCAAGAAAACTCCTGAGGTCCTTTCTGACTGTGAAATTCTAGAATCTTCACAACGTCAGAAGTCTTATGTTACAGAAGAGAAAACTGAGACTCCAAGAAGTTGAATTCCCTGATCAAAGTCACATGGGAAATCAGGGTGGCACCAGGACCCAAAGTTGGAACTGCAGACTCTTCCTATTCTTTCCAAGTAAGCCCCCAGCAGAAAGGGCTCACTGTCTACTCTTTCTGCATGTTGGAAATGACCTCCAGCACCATCTGCCAAGCACATCGCATCTCATATAAAGCTTCCTTTTTCAATGAATCTTAGTCCCGATGTTTAAGCGGCTTGCAGAGTCTGTAAAATCAATACTGGCTTATTGATAGAAAATGGACAAGCATTTTTATGTCCCCTAGTGGCTGAGAGCATACAAAAACCTGATTCTGAAGGCAGAATCTGCAGCAGGCAGCTCAGAGGTGCCTCCTCTTCTTTCTCTACTTTGGAAACCAGGTCAGGGTAGCACAGAAAGTTCTGGCTCAACCACCTCTTGCTCTTGAAAAGGAGGCAGGGACATGCAGTGGCCTGGATGGGATCCTGAACCCCTCTTGATTTCTTCCTTTGCAAAGCGGAGGATAACGAGGTAGCTCTTCTGGGGAATGCATGAGATAATTTGCATAGAATTCTCACAACAATGCCTGGAACCTAGCGAGGGCTGAACAAAGAACAGCTGATACAACTAAGGCGGGGAGGGAGGTCGCTGTTGGGGTCCAGGAGAATGGCTATTCTGAGAGTGTGGACTCGGCTCTCCTGAAATGGGGTCCAGCACAGGCTGGGGTGGGTGACACAGGTGGGCCTGGTGCTTCAGAACTGCCAGTGGGCCTCCTGAGTAACCAGGCTCCGGTGAGTGCTCGGGCACACGGAGGCTCTCGAGGATTTGGCCAGGCGTAATGTAATATGTGGCCTGTAGGCTTGGGTGGCACTGGAGTCACGTGTCCCTCTGTATTTTTAGCCGTTAATTGGAGGGATTTTTCAGCCTTGTTCAATCAGGTGCCTGAACATCCAGGCCCTTGGGCTCCTGACTCCTGAGTCAGGCTGGATGGTTGCTTAAGGCTCTACAGTCAGGCTTGTAGACAGCGGCTCAGAGCCCTGCCACTGCTAGCATCCCTGTGCTGGGCGGGGGACCCAGTGCAGCATGAGAAAGGTGAGGAGCACGGGGGCAGCCACGGGCCACCTGGCCTGGAATCAAGCTGTGATCTCTTGAAGAGCACAGGCCAGATGGCTTTGTTCTTTGTGATCTGCTCCTATCCCAGCCTCCTTGGGTTAGGAAGGCAGGAAGAAGGAAGCATTTGCTCACCATGTGGGTTGTGGACTACATTCCCTCCATAAATTCCCTTGCTCCCCAAACTCAGGTTACGAGGGATCAGATGCTAAGCAGTCTGCATTTCTAAGCAGAGCGGAGGTAGGTCCAGCTGAGAGAGCCCTGGATGTGGGGTCTGAAGACTTGACTTCAATTTCAGTTCTGCTTCAAGGCCGGTTTCAATTCTGCCTCTTACTGTTAGTATAACCTTGGGCAAATCAATTCACTTCTCTGAGCTTCATCCTTGTCTCCAAAATATGGATAATAGTAATAACGGCTAACAATTATATCTCTTAAACTGTGCCAGGAACTATTCCAAGTGCTTTACATATCAACAACAGCCCTGTGAAATAGACACTGTTATTATCCTTATTTTATAGATGAGAAAGCTGGGACACAGAGAGGTCAAGTGACTTTCCCCAAATCACACAGCTGGTAACAGGCAGAGAGACTGGGTACAAATCCCTGCTCTGCAATGTACTGGCTGTGTGACCTTGGCAACTTGGTTAACCTCTCTGAGCCTTGATTTCCTCATCTATGAAATAAGGATGATCATGCCTAATTCATGAAACTGTTGGTGAATGAAATATAAGCAGGCCTACGAAATGGGTAACAGGGTGCCTGGCACACACTGACAGCTTTTGTTGGTGGCTGTTGTGAGTAATCATTGTGTGGTGGTAGTTGTGGGTCTTCTGGGGCCTGTGTGTTGTGTATTTCCATGTCTATGGTATACGTGGGCCTATTTTTGTCTAATTTAATTTTGCTGAATTAGAGTGAGGTTCTGGCTTTGTCTGCAGCCCCAGCAGGCTTGCCAGGCCCCTAGGGAAAGCCACACATGGTCTGGACAAACGGGAGGTGTCTACCTGGAACGTCCGCCTTTTTATGACCGGGGGTGGAGCCAGTCGCACTGAATTGAGGAGAGGCAGCAGCTGAGGAGAAAGATGAGTTGGAGGGCCAGAGGGCAAAGGCCAAAGATCACAGGTATTCAGATCGATGCCAAAAGTCGCCAGAAGGGCAGGGCGGCCAAGAGGGACCGGAGCAGAGGAAGAGAGAAGAGATATTAGCGTGCACATGAGGAGTGGGAGGGAAGGAGTGGACAGGGCACTCTCATGGCTTGAGGGTGCAGAGCGGAGCTTGCCCTTGGATGGCACAGCCGTCCCTTGGGAGGAGTTGTGGCCCTCAGTCCACACTCGGCCTCGGCCTCCAGGTCAGAGTTTGGGGTGTTGACCAGCAGCCCCCAGAATGGGACAATGGCCCCCCATGGCCAGGCTTGCCCTCCGTGGCCATGCTGGGCTGCAGAGGCTGCTGGACATGCAGCCCAAAATTGCACTGCCAGCCCCACCCATCCCTGCTTGGTGGACAGAAGGGAGCCAACTCAGAGGGTCTGGCCAGGGAACCACTGGGCCCGTGAAATTGGTACTTGAAGTTGGGCTGGTGTGTGGCTGGTGGGTTCTTTTTTTGGTTGAGCAAGAAAGGCTGGTGTCAGCGCATCTGGGGAGGGTGGTCAAGGACAGTGCCAAGCCCAGCTCCCCGGGAGTTGAGTTGGCTGAGGGTGCAGCCAGTGTGGGCACATGCTAAGTGCTGCTGAGGGCTCACCCTGGGGCTGCAGGGCCTGGAAAATAGAGGCTGGGCAAAGATATCTCCAGAACGCTCAACCATGTTTTTGCGGGATGCAAATTGCAGTCATATTATCTAATGTGATTTTCATTTCTGGAAATTCTTGCAGCTTCTAGTCCCTCTCCCATTGAAGCTGAGCAACCCATGGTTTTAGGAGGCCCTTAGAGCCCATGTGAAAACAAAGATGGCATATACTGTCATCAGCAGCTTGTTTTTGAAAGTACTTAAATCACACAAGACTCCTGGGATGAGTGTTAAGAACCAGGAGCTGTTTGGGCTGCGAATGCGCCCAGCTGGGGATCGGGAGCCCAAGTGTGGCCTTTCCAGGTCACAGCTGCTGCCTTCTTGGACAGTAGTTGCACACAGACCTCCACCCGCTCCCCCTGCCGGGGCCTGGGGATGTGCAATGTTGGGCTGTATGTTCAGGAAGCCTCTCAGTGGAGAGGGGCCCGGAAACCTTCCAGAACCTACAAACCTTCAGGGCAATTATCTGGCTGGAGCGCAGAGCTGCTGGCATGCTGCTTAGGCACTCCTAGTTTGGGAGGGGATGGAGGTGGCAGAGACAGGGCGACAGGGACCGTGATGGGAGAGCTCACAGACACCAGCCCCCCTCCTCCCCACCCCTCTCTCCCTCCCTGGGGAAGCCACAGGCTGGAGTGGAGGAGGGCCCACCTGGATCTCTTGGTGTCTTCCAGGCCTCAAGACCTGCCACCCCAACCCTGCCTGCAGACCCCTTGGAAAGCCAACAGGTCTCTAGAAGTCCCCTGATTTTCTACCCTTTTCTAAATAAACTTGCTCTCCCCCTCAGCTGGGACCCCAAATCTACTCCCCCACCCCATGCCTGACATGTTCCCCAGAATGCCACCATCATGAGGCCAGGCTTCACTGCACCCTGTGGCCGGGAGTCTTCTGCAGCCTTCTGTCACTGTGCCCTTCCCTTTCCTTGTGCTGGGCTGAGGAGCAGAGAGCCCTGCTCCCGCCCCACCCCAAGCGCTCACTGAGGACGGGTGACACACTACCAAAGCGCCTGCAGTTGTGTTGTCTTTTGTGCTGGGGGATGTTGTCTTTCTTTCGGGTAACATAACAATCCTGTGAGCCTATCGTTTCAAATAAACACAGCTGACCTTCTATTATTGTATCAGGATCAAGCTGGCCGGAACACAAGGGCCCCTGCATCCCTGGAGCACATGCCGCTGACGGGCTGGCTCGGACTGCGCTGCTGCTGGCCTGCCTTCCTCAGCCCGGGCCTAGCACCACCGCAGCCTTAAACCCATCCCAGCCTCTCACGTACCAGACTCACAGTGGTTCCCTGGCCCAGGAACCCAGACCTCAGGTCTGCCTTCCAGCCTCCTGAGGGTTTGGGCAGAGGCTGGGCCCTGCTAGCCTCTGGGCCCTCCTGACGCTGAGCCCTCCTGCTAGCCCTGGGCCCTCCTGACGGCCTTCTAGAGTCAAGCTGACGCTGAGCTCCGGCTTATGTCTGTCTCCACTCCCAAAATCCCACCAGCCGGACCTGCGTGGCAGGGGTGGGCAGCCAGGGAAGCTGAGCACCATGGGGCACATGACAGACGGGAGAGAGGCCTAAAGATGCTCATCCTCCATCCCTGCTGTCCAGGTCTGGGAGCAACGAGGCCAATCCACAAAATGAGGGGCATTTTTTTTTTCTGGGCCTAGCTCACTGGGGCTCCTGCTGGAGGAAGCTGTGCGTATCTTGCTCTCCCCTGTCCCAAGATCAACCCTGCCGCTGGAACACAAGTTTGAAGATTCCTAACAGGACAACAGCAGTCTTTTGGGTTCTGTATCTTGGGGTGGAGCAAGGAAAAGGAAGGAGGAGGCAGGGGTGGGCAGAGGAAGCATCTCAGCCTGAAATCCCCAGCCTGCTTGGAGAAGGGGTTCCTCTGTTCTTAAACAGGCCAAGGAGAGACTTTATCCCTGAATTGCTACAGTCAGTCCCCGATTATCTCCCATCATCGAGGTTTGGATGTGAAACACCATCAACTGATACAATGACTAATCGAAAAGTCCCACTTTTTTGGCCATGGCTAGGCTGCCGGACATCACCCCCCACCGCCACACACACACACACACACACACACACACTTGCACACACATGCTAGATGGGTGGGGAGTCGGACTCACACAAGTCACGCTGCCACGGAGGGCCATGTGCAGAGGAGCCACAGAGCTCCACACACAGCAAGAGACTCCGACATACCGAGTCAGCCGTACGTACAAAGGGGCAGATGTACAGACACGCACGGATGATGAACAGCTCCATACAGCCCATGGCCAGAGAGACACATCAGCTGCTCCCACCAGACGCACTGCCACCCCAAACCCCTCTTTCTGACTGCTGAGTGCAGAGGGCACTGGGGGCTCCTGTTCCCCCACGATCCGTTAGGAACTGGAGACCCCAGGGAGATGAGGCTGAGCTGGGGGCTGTGCCCCAGGGATGGATCAAAGGGCCTTGCTCAATTTTAGGGGTTCACTTACCCGGTGTGGGTACTCTCCACACTGACCCTGGGAAGGAGAGAGAAGGGAAAGGGGGTGTTAGGCACTTGTTGGGGGTACCTGTCTCTCAGGGCACCCCCAGAACTTCAGGACATGTCACACATCTCACCACTCACCAGCCCTCCTGCTCTAGCTTTCGTTTGAGCCCTCTGAGGCAGGAGAACTAAGTCCCTCCCTTGCCCCTGGCTAGCAGCAGGGAAGAAACTTTCAGGGCCTGTCTGGAAGTGGCCCCATGGAGCCTAGGGGCAGGGCTTCGCCTTACACCACTTGCCATAATGGCAGAGTCGGGAGTTATGCCCCATGCCTGGCTAAAGGTTGACCCTCTAGGCAGGCCCACCAGACAGCCCTGAACAGAAGCCACTGGATGGGAGCAGCTGGCACCATGGGGGCCCCCAAGCCACCTTCTCTGAGCTGGGAGCACCAGGCCCCTGTACCAGTGGCCCAAGGGCAAACACAGCAGAGTCTCTATCAGAAATTCAACAAGACAGAGAGGGCAGGAGGCCAGGCCAGTGGTTGACAGATTGATGCCTCAGAATCCCAGAGGCTCACAGAGGTGTCAGGGAACACCATGGGGTGACAGCTGGGAGGGGCCCAGAAAGAGGCTGAAGAGGGCCAGGCTCCAGGAGGACCCCTGGAAAAGGATGTCACCCAGGCCAGGCTCCAGGAGGACCCCTCACTCCAAGAAAAGGATGTCACCTGGAGCGGTGTCAACTGAATATATTATGCGGCACCTCGGGGGCTTTCCTGATTCTGTCAATTAAAACTAAAGTTTGAAAATAACCACTATTGACCCCTTTCTACTGACTGGGAGACCATTTCCTGAGATGGAGACTCTAGGAAACCTCCACTGCTTTTACCTTTTCTCCTTTTTGTCCCTGAGGTCCCTACAAAGAGACGGAGATGAGAGAGTTAGAAACCGAAGCTGAGGTCACAACCACCTGAAGCTTCTCTGCTGGGAAATAGAAGGATGAGGTACCAACCGGCTGTCCTGGGGGACCCGTCAGACCCTGTGGGAAGCAAACATACACAGATCAGTGGGCAGACAGAAGACGGGCAATCAGGGACACCTGCCTAGGTGGGGATTGGGGCTGAATCCTGAAGGCTGGGCCAGCCATGTCCAGGTCTTCCCATGCCCACCACATTCAAGGTGGTGTGGTCTCATCCACAGAGTCTCAGCTTCTTCACCCCCCAGTGGGCCGGACTAGGGTTGTGATGAAGAACAGATGGCATCTTTCATCCATTCCTCCAACCACCAGCATGTCATGGGCCAGCTATGGAGGGGCTGCACCTAGAGGTCAGGGAGTTTTCTGCTCCATGGGACCCCCTGCCTCACATGCACCAAGCCTCTGGGAGACACTAGCACATTCCACCTCCTGCCTCCCAGGCTGCAGTGAAGCCCACTGAACCAGAAGAGCTTCTGGCCTGGGGGGCTGGGCCGGTGCCTCAGACAGTGGGGGCCTTGGAGAAACCTCCGGCAAAAGAGATCGAGCAGGAAATTGGCAACTGAAGCCGTGTTCCGGAGTTCTCTAAGAAATATGAGGGATCGTGAGGTTTCCTTCAAGGTTGTCTTGTCCATGCAAGGCTAGGAAAGGAGCTGGGGTCGGGAGGGACCCTTGCTGTCTGAGGAGGGCCCAGCATGCTCTGGCTCTCTTAGGAGGCTGCACCAAGGCTGGTGGAGGGAAGAGGAAAAAACAAATGCCTTATGAGCTGAGGCTCTTCAGGTATGTGCCTGTGAGGGACATGCTCGCATCCACTCCAGCTCCTGAGCGAGGTGACAGAGACAAGCCCTCGTGGCTCAGTGAATGGTGGCACTGGGACAGGAGCCCAGTTTGTCTGATGGCCAAGGTCCAGCTGTTTCCACTCTGCCGAATGCTGGGAACTGGGCCAGACCTTGGGAGTCAGGGCTTCTAGACTTGGCTACAGCCATTCTCTTTGGGGCCTGAAGCATCATGGATCCCCATGGGTGGGTCCATCCGGGAGGTGGCGGCAGCATGTCGTGATGTGCAAGAGCCTTGGTCCTGCTCCCGACTTGCCAACAGGGCCACCTCCAAACTGGGAAACTCCCAAGAGCATCACTGGAAGGGAGAAGTGGCCTTTGGGACCATCCATGTGGCCCTCCCAGCCCATGTGGCTGGCCAAGTGTTTATTTATCTTTCATTGTTTTATTGAGACAGGATCTCACTCTGTTGCCCAGGCTGGAGTGCAATGGTGTGATCTCAGCTCACTGCAGCCTCAGCCTCCTGGGTTCAGGTGATCCTCCCACCTCTGCCTCACAATTAGCTGGGTCTACAGGCACACACTACCATGCTTGGCTGATTCTTCTATTTTTTTTTCTGTAGAGACAGGGTTTTGTTATGTTGCCCAGGCTGCTCTCAAACTCCCAGACTCAAGCAACCTGCCCACGTTGGCCTCCCAAAGTGCTGGGATTACAGGTGTGAGCCACCACACTTGGCCTGGCAGAGTGTTTAGAATGAAGTTCAGCAGCACATGATTCACCCAGCAGGGAACCCGGGCCCAGCCCACAGGTGACCAGGTCACCCTCTGTCAGGACAGAGATATAAGTGTGATGGGGGAGGGGCAGGCGGAGTTTCAGGACTGCAGAGACTTGGACAATTGAGACCAGACATCCCAAATGGTGGCCCAGGGGACAGTCGTGGTCTTCATAGGGATTTCGTGTATCCCACATGGTTTTATTTCAACTAGTTACCAATACTTAAGAGCAAGCAGAGTGCAAATAAAAATCTGGATTTCAAGTTTCTCTTAATTATGTCGAGGCCCAACAACACATGGTACCAGTTCTCTCCAGCCGGGCAGTGCCTGCCCCTTTAAGGGCCATGGCCCCAGGTGACGTGCTCAGCACTTGCCACCAGCCCTCTGCTAACTGCTACTGAAGCATAGCTAAGGTGCCTGTCTGCTTCTTATGTGCTAGGCGTGTTGTGAGTGCCTGGCGCTCCTCACTCTTCCGACAGCCCTGTGGGTGGTGGGTGAGATTTGGACTGAGTCTAGGTCTTGCTTTACAGCCCTTATGTCATTCCTGAGTCTCAGAATCCCCAATCTTGTCCACCCTCCAACTACACTATTGTACAACTGTGTCCTCCCAACACTTCAACACCTTATTTCAGGTTATTGGGAATAATGTGAAGTGGGTGGGGCAGAGGTGACCCCCTTTTGAAGGTAAGGATGCAGGTTAAACAATGAGGGTGAGTGCCAGTGCCCCAGTAGGACGCCAACAGAGGGGACAGCATCTGGGGCGGGAGACAGACAGATGAAGAGCGGGCCAAGGTAATGATGCTGGACAGCGGTGGGCAACTAACAGCTCAGGTACCCATGCCAAGCCAAACAGGAATCGGATGGCTCTGTGGCCTGCAGGATTTGATGAGGCAGATAGGTGATCCATCCTACTGATGTGAGCTCACAAGAGAGGGGGTGGGCCTGCCTTTTCTGTTGAATTAGCTCTGATCCCTGAACAGACAGGCAGTCAAGTGTGTGGGACACAGGGATGGTGTGGGCAGAGTGAGGGCAGGAAGAGGGGCCCCATGGAAGGGTCCCTTTCCTCCAGGACAAAGTGCTGGCAGCTGAGAGGAGGTGTGATCCAGGGGTAAGACCCCACAGTATGGGTCTGAATCTCAGCTCTGGTATTTAGGAGCTTTGTGGCCTCAGGCAATGTACTTAGCCACTCTGTGCCTCAATTTCCCCTCTCATGAAGTGGGGATGATAAGCTGTTATGAGGATGCCAGAGTGCTGCCTAGAAGATGACCATTATTATTACTTCTGGGGGGCCATGGGCTACCTTATGGTAGCATAAGGCTGCCAGAGAGGAAAAGAAGCTGGGACTGAAGGGATGAGCACCCCAAACCCTTTATGCCTCTCTAACAATGCAGCATGGCAGTTTATTCCTGTCTCGGTCTCCACTATTCCATACATGTGCACAGCACGCCTAGGAACGGGGTAGGGGTGGGAGGAAATGCATTTGCAGCGGAGGCAGCTGTGATGGAGAGGAAACCTTGCTGGGGGACCTGGATTCCAGCGCCAGCTCTTCTGCCACTGCCTCAGGGCCCTTCTGCCTCCAGTGCCCTTCCTCCAGTTCTGCAGACATGTCAAGGATTTTCCTACCTCAGGACCTTTGCACATGCTGTTCTCCCATGTCCAGAAAGCACATTCTCATCCCTCTTTCTATTTTCTCTCGGTTGAATCCTCGTTCTTCAGGCACTAGTTCAAAAGTCTCTTTCTCAGAAAAGCCATCTCCGACCCTTGGCCTGGGTGAAGTTTTTGTTATACCAAGGTTTCCAGGGCACTAAGGATTATCTTTTTATAGCACTCATTGCAAAGCAACTTGTTAGTTACGTGAGTGATTATTTAAAAGGATGTCTCCCTGGTAGACTGTGAGCTACAGATGGCAAAGACAGTTTCTCTTGCTCCCATCTGTATCCCTAGCACCTGAAGTAGTGCGCAGCACATTTTAGTTACTCCATAAAAAATGCATTAAAAGAAGGAAGGTGGCAGGAAGGCCGACAAAGAGTGAGGGAAACAGAAAGGGAGGAAGGTAATAAAACGTGGAGGCAAGGAATTTGAGAACTGTGTTTTGATCTTGTTTTGGACACTCAGCTGTGTGACTTCAGGCAAGTTACTTAGACTCTCTGAGGCTTGGCTTCCACACCTGCCAAAAGGGATTCTAGTAAGAGCTGGAGCACAGAGTTACGCTGAGGATTGAGACAGTCATGCAAAGTGCTTAGCCCAGTGCCGACCACACGGCAAACCCTCAATAAATGTTAGTTGGATCTGAGTCAAGAGGACAGGTTGGGGCCCAGAGGAAGCTGGCAAGTTAGGAAGAGCTAGGCTGGAGCCCAGGCCTTGCAGCCAACACTCCGCCATTCCCCTTTCCATCCACGAGACTGCCTGCCTCCCTCGGTGCCCTGGCAGTGCCTCAGTCATGGGTCAAGGGTTGTCTTCACACCAGTGCTTGGAGCAAGGCATGAGCCAGACCCCTGCCTGGCCCACTGACCTGTGGAGCAGGAGGTGGTCCCTCACAGTGTAGGTGTGACCTGGGACTTAGGAGGCAGAAATTGCATCCCAGCCCAGGGCGGTTTTTTTTTTTTTTTTTTAAAGCAGAGATTTATTGAAAACCAAAGTACACTCTACAGTGTGGGAGCAGGGGCCCATTTGCTCTTAATGGCCCATCAGTTCCTGCTGAGACCTGGACCACTGTGAGAGTGGGCAGCCCTTCATTGCCTTCTGGAAGGGATGGTCTGTGGAGACAGCACATTTATTTCCAAAGCTCTGCAGAAGGTAGGGGCCAGGAGAAAGGTGGGGCAAAGTTTGTCTCTCCACCTTTTCGGGGCCTGAGGCACTCCAATTTCCCTGGGCAGATCCATCTGGGTGGCGGCCACGGGATGCTGTGACATGGAAGAGAAGACCTCGCTCCTGCTCTCGACTTGCCAAGTGGCCCAACATCCACATGGAAACTCCCAGGAAGGCATGGGGAGAGGAGAAGGGGTCTTTGGGATGGTGCATGTGGCACCCCCAGCTGAGATGAGCCACTGGGCACCACCAGCCCCAGTGGGGCAGGAACCCCTGGAGTCCTGGGGTGGCTCAGGGCACAGCCAGCACTGGGAAGAGGTTATGAGGCCTTGAGGGACCTCAGGCTCAGTAGAAATGGTGTCTCCTACAGAAAGTGTCCCCTGTGAGTGCAGATGAAACCTTGTCTCCCAAGGCCCATGCGAGTGTGGTTTGAGAGCACTAAGCTGGATACCGACTTCTGTGTGCTACCGACCAGGTATGCGCTCTCTCTGGATCTCCCATCCTCATGCTTCAGATGGAGAAGCCCCTGCCCATTTCGCCTCCCTGCATATTGATGTGAGGATCCAGGGCATTTGGTTTACACAGCTGGGGAGTGACCAGCATGGGCAGCCACTCCTGTTGTCCCTGCGGGACCCACTTTGCAGTGCTTGGCTGTGCCTGTGAGGCTAGGCCAACCCCCAACCATCTTGGGAAGGCAGGAAAGCTGGGCTCTTACCATGTCGCCCTTTGGTCCTGGGTGGCCCTGGAAGGAGAAGAGGGTGAGTACCAGGTGCACTGTTTGCAGCCCAGAAGTTCCACCCCCTGCCCCCGTGCTCCTCCCTGCCTCCCCGTGCTCCTCGCTGTCCCCTGTGCTCCATCTGCACCTTCTGGCTTGTGCACTCCTTCACCCAGTCCCTAAGGCAAGGTCATTTGCTCACTACCCCTCGCTGGGCCTCACTAGCAGCTGCCTGCCCTTCAGAGAGCAGGGGTGGGGGTAGTCTCCCTAGACCCCGACTCTCACCTCATCCACATGTCCAGGGTAGCTTCGGGGGATTGGTCCCATGACATGAGTGGAAATGATTGCTGGCGCCCCTGAGCTGCACTTAGCTCGCTGGCCTGCAGCTGGGGAGTGACTGGGTGGTGCTAGGGTCCCTCAACTGAGAGAGGCGAGTGGTGGGACCGGGCGTGGCTGTGAGTGGGGCTGCATTCCATCCACCCTGAGGGCTTTGGGTGGGGCATGCTCCCTTCCAGCTGACTTGTTCCTAGGACTGGGGAGGGTACTTTTTTCCCCCAAGAGCATTTGTGTCAGGGAACCAAGCCCAAAGGATTGAAATGAATGGAGGCGCTATGGTAGGAAGCAGTCTCCACGTGGACTTGAGCACACGTGTCGGGTCTCAATCCGGGAGGAAGACCCTGACCTCGAGGACAGGGCCATGGGAGACACAGGTGTTGAGGAGCAGGGGCAATCGTGTGCACAAGTGGCCAGGCTCTTCAGACCAGCTATTTGACCTCCATACCCTCCACTCTCCACGCTGCCTACTGACCTCACCCCCACCTCACCCCGAATCACCCAGGGATGCATCTTGCTTGGATTCTGAAAGCCAGGCTGGGCAGCTGGGGACCTGTGCCCTGGGGAAGGCTGCTGGGGTCAGGGGTGACTCAAATGGCTCCCTCCACTTCCCAGTAGTGACAACCTTCAGCCCCAGGACTTTTCCTCCTAAGTAAAGCATTTTCCACGGAGTCAGGGTCTCGCAGAAGGACCAAGAGATCCAGGATCACTGACCTGCAGTGAGGGGGAGGAGCCCTCCCCTGAGAGCGGGTCCACTTACCGGTTTGCCATCCAGCCCAATGGGACCCTGAAACCAGAAAGGCCAGATGTAAAGACCGAGCATCACAAGCCTCCTGCCAAAGAGGCTGCCTGGGCAGTGGGGAAAAGCATAGATTCTGGATTCTGATAAGTTGGAGCTCAAGGCCCTGCTTGACCACATACTTGTTAATGTGACCATGGGTAAGCCTAGGCCTCAACTTCCCATCTTGAAATGGGGTTGAGCATAATAGAATGTTGGATGCCAGGTACACAGCACAAGAGAAAACCCAATGGGTGGCCTCCCCATTAATGTCAAAGACTTCACCCTTGCCCTGAGTGCAGAGTGGGTGGTGTGTTCCTGGAAATCAGGGGCTGGCCTGCATTGAGGCTGGGAGAAAAGGGAACTTCTCCCTCTGCTCTGCCTGTCAGAACCTGTCTTAGGCCCCATAGGCAGAGGTCAAGGACACCCAGGTGGCCACCCCTCTGCCTTCCCCACGCTGGATCTCCTCTCAAAGCCCAGGCACAGGCTGAGCTGCAGGTGTTCTCCCACAGGGCATTGTCCATTCCATATTCCCAGGTCATGCTGGGGTTTATCAGCCTGTGACTTCACTCACCTGGGGCCTGTCCTGCTGCCTCTTAATTTGTGGATTTGCTTCCCTGTATTTATTCCTTGCACTGTGACCTGACTGCCAAGCTACTGTCCTGAGTTGGTATCCATGAATGGCTGTAGAAGCAAGTCCTTAATGACCAGAGTTTGGGAGAGAAAGAGTGGAACCAGGGCTGACCTCAGATGAAGTTTAACCCAATCAGGCCTACAGACCACCTGGGACACGGCTAACTTCAGCCTTCTCCACTTACCGGAAATCCAGGAAAACCTCGAGTGCCTGGTTGACCCTGAAAAAAAAAAAAAAAACAAGAGACAAGTGAGATTGAGCAAGGAGGAGATGCAGCCAATCCCTAGCCCTCTGGTTCGTTTTTGCTTCCATGACTCTCACTCTGTGTGATCGTCCTTGCGGGACACTCACTGTGGTTAGTGGGCTGGGAGGGAGGATGGAGAAAGATGAAATGGAACATCATAGGAAATCTCCTGCAGGGGCTGGGGGTGGGAAAGGAACAGGAAGGAGCCAGCGTCCTTTGGGTCTACTTCTGGGAAGTGGTCCCTGGAGAGCTCCTCACCACTGTGTATGCGTGGCTTGTAAACAGACGCATGGAACAGTGGGGCCAGCGGAGCACACGGAACTCCTGGACTGCGATCCTCTAAGCCCTTTTTTATTTACACAGTCATTGCTCATGGCCATTTGTCTAAGGATGGCTTGGATATCAGAACCTGATCTTCAAAATGTGTATTTTCAGGCTAGACTAGGTCAGGTTGCTCCTGTTCCTCTCACCCTGGCCAGCAGGCTTCTCCTAGCAGTTGGGCAATCTCTGAGCATTCCCTAATCTTTGTGGGATGCAGAGCAATCTATGCCTATTTTCCTGGAAGTGCAGAGTGCAACACAAATAAATATTTAGGGTGGAGACTAGAAGCAGGTTCACTGGCCACAGTGATTTATGATCCAGTGGTTTACGATCAAGATTCAGGGCAAAGTGGATGTGATGAGATTAGAAGAAGCACAAGGCTGTGATGATGCAGGGCTGAGGAGGGATGGCCAGGTGGTCAAGGGTGATGGAGAGCTAAGAAACGTGAGTCTTGTCACTCTCCTTCTCAAGAACCAGCAAGGGCTCCTTTCTACCATGTTCAAGGCCATCCCTCAATCCCATCCCCATCAACCATGTTAGTTTCCTTTCCCGCCACATCTTTCCATCTATTCTATGGTGAGACATACTGGCTCACCCGCCGTTCACCAAACAAATATGCCCAATTCTCAGCTTGGGGTCTCCTTTGGCTGACACAGCCAGAATCTCTTCCCAAGCATGGGCTTTCTAGACTGGCAAACTAAATTCAAATCCTGCCTCCAACTATGGCTGTGTGACCCTGAGCAAGTTGTCTAACCTCCCAGAGCCTCAGTTTCCTCATCTATAGAATCGAGATAACAGTATAATCTCATAGGATCATCAAATTACATTTAATTATGTTTGTAAAACCTATTGAAATGGTAGCTGCCATCATCAGACACTTGTTGAATTGAACTGAACAGGGAAGCTCCAGAATAGAGCAAGGTTACTTTTGAGCCCAATATGTCTTGTGATCAATGAAAGTTTGTCCTTGTCAAGCAGCAGTTTTAGAATCAGACCTCTCCAGAAGATTTCTCTTTGTTATACAACGCAGCAGGCTCCCCCTGTCCCTGTTCAGTGGGCGTCTGGCTCAAGCCTTGCTCCAAGCGCTGGTGTGAAGATTCATATGCTATGACCCTAAAGCATCTCCAGGCTGCCAGGGTCCTCCTTGAAGCCGTGAACATAAGTGCCCAGTGGCCTGTGCTCAGGGAACACGTCAGCTGGGTAGGATGGGCACCCTGCCATCAGGGTGGGTGCGCTGGTTCAACAGCGAGCGAGTTGAAGTCTGCCGCAGGCTTAGGATGGGCTTGTGGCAGCCATCCAAAAGGGCATAAGGGAGGAGATTCCACTCATCTATCGGAAGGGCCCCTGGCTTTTTTCCTCTCAAGGATAAGTGATGCTAAGAATAAACCAAGGAGAAAACCCGGAAACCATCCAATGTCATCTCTGAAACCTCCCAGTGTAAACTTTCTGTAAACTACTCTGCACACCAAGAGGACTGAAGCAAAGGTCAGGAGGAGAGGATTCCAAGAAACATCTTCAGTCTCGCTAGGGACAATGTTTACGTGGTAGGGATAATCATACACTTTGTTAATTACAGAGCCTGCCCTGGTAGCAGGATGCATCTCTCCAACCAGGACCAAATCTGGGGCTAACCAAGGCTTTTTCAGAGATCTGGGGAAGAATGTTGTCATGGACCAAGTGGAAACTGGGACGCCACTTTGTGGAGAGGCTGGGCCTGGGGAAGGCATGTGGGGAGACTTGGAACTGGACTTTAATTTATATCTCTTCAATTATATCCTGAGGTTAGACATCTCTTCCAATATTTCTCTGCCTGTTTCTCTTTACCAATGTTTTCTAGTAGGTTGTTTGTTTTTTCCCTGCTGATTTGAATGAAGCACTTGGTCAAGAAAAATAACTCTTTGATAGTCATGCATCAAAGAGTTGGGGCACTTGGACTTTAAGGGAGCCTCATTAAATCCAGGGGGAGGCTGGATCCCCAAGATGCTGGCTGGCTCAGCAGGCCCTGGGCAGCGGATCTGCCAGTCCTAGGAAATGCCCCGTCTCAAAGTGTGCCCATTCCCTCTCTGAGCTCCCCAGCTTCTCTTCTGGGGCCAGGAGATATCCGAATATTCAATAGTCATGAATAGTGATGACTATTCTTTCTAATTTGTCATTTGTCATTTATCTTGTTTCTGGTATGTTTTATATTTATATAGACAAACTTAATCTTCTCCTATGGCTGTTGGATTTTGTGTGATGTTTAAAAGGGCCTTCCCCAGTTTCAGAATTATAAAATGTTCACTCATGCTTTGTCCTTGTATTTTATGGTTTCAGGTTTTATATCTAAGTATTTTGTTCATTTGGAATTTATTCTGATATAATGAATAAATTGGTTTTAATAATAAAAAACCAAACAACTGTCTTTCATTTTACCTTCTACTAAGTGGCTTATCAGTTGCCCCAGCATCATTTCTTGAACAATTGATCTTTCTCCTGCTATTGTGAAATGAAGCCTTGATCATGTACCAAATTGACACATGCATTTGGCTTTATTCCTGGCCTCCCCATTCTGTTCTGTTCATATGTTTCTTAGATTGTCCTGTTTTTATAATACATTTTTGTATCTAGTAGCATTTTGTTGGATTCCCAACCTCATAAAAAATGCACAGGGATTAGGACCACATTAAATGTACAAAAAATAGATGTATTTGTACATTAATTCATGGATTAATATTACTGAACCATCCTTCTGAACCAGAACAAGGGAAATAAGCTTTACATTGATCTCTGAAACCTTCTCCCTTAATTGAAGGTCAGAGTGAAAAGGGAGCCGAAGGAGGTCCCCACTTCTGAAAGCAGACCCCTATATCTACTCCTCCCTGTCTTTCTCCTACTTGTAAATACACAGACAGAAGGTTCTTGCTGGAAAAAGCCTACCAGGAAGTCTCCCTTCTCTTATTTGACCGTCGAGAGATGGTCAGTTGTGTCTCTGCCCAGGGGCCGCCTCCTTCTGCCTCCCTCACCAACAAGACTCCATGCTGGCAAATGTTTAACCATTAGCTGAATGGGAGAGGGTAGAGAGGAGAACCCTGCCTTGTACAGCATCTGCCAATGTCTGTGGTATAAATACACCCACCATAGCTGATTTCAAGCTACCAACATGAGTTCACTGAACGCAGCTGGGAGGAGGCGAGGTGTGCATGGTCCACTCTTGCCAGCCGTCCAAGCTGGCTCCAGCCGACCACATGCTCTGACCTCCAGCAGCGGATCACAGTTCCCGTTGGACATTACGCCATCTCTAATTCATCACGCTCAAATTCAACTCATCTCCCCTGGCAAAATCTGCTCTTCCTTCTGGGAAAGGGTACTGTGTTACTCAAGTCAGAAATGTGGTGTCATCTTGAGCTCCTGCTTCTCCCTCAATCCTCATTTTTTATCATCGCTAAATCCTTCAATTCCACCTCTAAAATAGCCTGCAAGTCCAGCCCTCCTGGCCAGCCCTACCGATTCTGCTCCAGGCCAGGCCTTGGTTGTTGCAAGTGCCTTCCAGCCAGCCTCCCACTGCAGCCTCTTCTAAACATGCTGCATGCTGGACCTTCTAAAACCTTTGAAACTGCAAATCTGGTCATGTCCCACATCAGCCTAACACAGCCTACAAGCTCTTCACACCCTCAGGACAAAGCCCAACCCCTGACCATAAATGTAAGGGCTTCTCACGGGTCCTTGATTGCAGTTATTATCCCCTCCTCCAGGAAACCTTCCCTGCCTGCCCTCCTTCCCCAAGGCTGGTGCCTCCTCCTTGTCCCACAGCTCTCTAACCATCCCCTGGTTTAGCACTTGCTGTCTGCATTGTCACGGATTATGTGATCACTGGTCTCTCCCACTAGATCATATGCCCAGAGGGCAAGCTGACAGAGGTCTGGTTTCTACGCAGCACCTAGCAGGCACTGGGCTCTTAACAAATATGAATGGAGTGAATTGAGACACACTTAGTAGGTGTGTCTACCTGGTGTGGGGTGGCTCCTAGTGGATGAGGACTGGAAGTTCAGATATCTCCTGGCCCCAGAAGAGAAGCTAGGGAGCTCAGAGAGGGAATGGGCACACTTTGAGATGGGGCATTTCCTAGGACTGGCAGATCCGCTGCCCAGGGCCTGCTGGGCCAGCCAGCATTTTGGGAATCCAGCCTCCCCCTGGATTTAATGAGGCTCCCTTAAAGTCAAAGTGCCCCAACACTGTATTCCAGCGTGCTTCATTAGAAAGTGAACCCTCCTCCAAAGTGTTTGGAGGGGATCCCTCTTTGCTTGGACCATTTATCAAGCTCCAAGAGGGGAGGCAGGTGGCCCCTGAGAGTGGCAAGGCTGGTTCTTATTAGCAGCATCTCTGCTGGACCCTTCCTGGCTGAGTGGAAAGTCACATGTTCTCCATCATCCCTGGATGCCACCAAGGGTGCGCACTTGACCTCTACCACTTAATGACAAATGGACCCTTTGTCTTCCCCCATCCCTGCTCCCATTAGCTCAGGGCAGCTTCCTGGAAGGAGCTGAGTGGGCTGCCCCTGCTGTCCAGTGGGGACTCAGCAGGGATGGCTTGAGCCACTGGGTGATTGGGGCCAAAGTTAGAGGATGTTGGGCTTGGTTAAGACTCCTGGTACGATAAAACCTTTCCTGGTGCCAATGTAGGCACCCACCTGGAGGATTTTTTTCTCCTGCAGTAAATATCGTTTTAAACAGTAGCATTTCAAACATGGAGCAGGGTGTTGAGGCAAGAATGCAGGCTTTGGGATGAGGCTGACCTGGCCAAACCCAAGCTCTAGAACTTACTAGCTGGGCAACCACAGGCGAGTTAGGAAACTTTTGTCCTCTGTAAAATGGGCTGGTGGAGCCTGCCTCACAGCTGTGAAGGAGACCTGTTTTGTGACAGGTGTCTGGGAGACAAAAGCTCTCATTGTTACCTGAACAGAAGGTGCTTTTCACTATTGGAGTCAAATCCGGTGCAGTAGGTATGTTTCTGATTAGGTTATCTGTGCTGGGCTGAGGCCAGGAGGGGCAGAGGCTCTACTGCCCTGAACACATCTCCAGCAGTGGAGCTTTTCAATAACTTTTTGGTAGCCTGTTGACATAATTTGCTGAAAGGGTGTTAGAGGACCAGCAGGATCCATGCAATAGAACATCTGTAGCCAGACCAGAAGGCAGACAGAGATGGGGCCTAGGGTAGGGCCTGTATGCTGTGTTATTCCCCTGTCCTCCTAACACACGAGGATCAGTCCTTGATGTTAGCACCTGGAGGACTGTCTTCTGTTTCTGTGACCTTCCCATCACCACCTTCATCAGGACCAATTCGGCCAGGGCACTGGCGCTGCACCTCCTCCAGTACACAGGAGGCTGGAAGCCCATCGGGGCAGCCACCATGTAAGCCCAGGAGCACATGTGACAGTGACATCAGGCCTGTCCTGTCCATGACAGCAGCAGGAATCAGAAGCAGACTAGAGCCAGATGGCCTGGCTGAATGATCTGTTACCAGTGTGGCCACATGCCAGCCCTATGGCTTTGGGCAAGTCACTCAGCCTCTCAGTGCCTCAGTTTCCTCATCTGTAAAATGGAGGTGATCACAGTCCCTACATCATGGGGTTCTTGTGAGGATTAAGTGAGTGAATACATGTAAAAGTCTTAAGATAAGACCACCATAGAGGAAGTGTTAAGCATGGTCAATATGGTCTGAGCCCATAAGAAAACCTTGCTGTAAAGGCCATGTCTACTCAGTCCAGGGCTGCTCAAGTGCTGCCTCCGAACTGGCCCCTGACCTGCCTGCCAGCCTGGCTCTCCTGCCCCTGCTCTCTGCTCTCCTTCCCAAACTGGCTCCACCTCTCAGCTCCCCACACTCACCACAACCCCTCGCTTGGCTGTTCAGCTCACTGCGGGCCCCCTCCCTTGGATGTAACTTAGCCATTAGTTCTCCAGCCCCTCTCCCTCCGATGTGGGTCTCAGTCTCCCAGAGGCTAGCCCTCTGCTCCCATCCCTCACTGAGCACGGCGGGTCAGGAAAAGTGCAGAAGGTGGAGCTGGCAGCCTGCTGCTGTGGTGAGGCCGGGGCTCCTCGGTTCTAATCCTGCCAAGCCTCTACATGGGAGGCCCCTCCTCCTCACTGAGCCTCATTTTCCCCTTCTGAGAGGGCTGTGTGAGACTATCCCTGGGATCCTTTCCACCCTGACATGTGGTGATTTTATTAAAGCCCCGTGGTTCAGGGCTCTGGGAAAATAACAAGGCTTCCTCCCACAGCCTCAATATCTTGCTGGCTTCATCACCCGCACCCCCGTTTTGGTCCCTAAGGAAGCACATGTGAGGGGAACCTCGCTGGTTTTCTCAAGCTCCCAGCCACGGGTTGGAGGGTGCTAGTGAACACACAGGACCCCGCACTGCACACAGAGGTATCTGTGAGGGTGAGTGTGGGCTGGGCTTCTGGCAAGACCAGTACTGCGTGCCTGGGTCAGTGAACCCGGACTCGTATCTGCTCCATGGGCTTCCAGAAACAAAGGCTGGTTCCCGGGAAAGCCGGATCACCCCATCCAGAGGAGAGCAAACTCTTTCTCCCTTCTGTCTGTAAACAGCAGGGCCACCTCGCAGCTGCTGTAGTTTCATGGCTAGAGGGCAGGTCCCTCAGAACCCTCCCAAGGGGCTGTAATTTAGGTATATTTAGCCAGGCCACTTTCCTTAACATCAACATCGGCACCCGAGGCCTGGTTGGGCTGACCACATCACATGCAGTGGCCTCCCCACCCAGGGGCACAGCTGCTCTCGCTGTCCCCTCATCCCCAGCCTGAAAGCCCTTTTCATCAACTCACCCAAACCCCCCACACCCCGAGGAACAGCAAAAACAACTTACAGGGGGGCCGCGGGGGCCGATGATGGACAGCCCAGCATCTCCGGGGGACCCCTGTGGGGAGAAAGGAAGGGGGAGAGGGAACGAGGGGCAGGGAGGTATGGAGAAGAGGAGCGGGAAAGAGAGGAGCCAAAGGGAAGGAGCTGGCAGGGGGCCGGGAGCAGGATGCCGGCCCCATGGGACAGGAGAGGGAGGCCAGGGACGTGGAGGGCCACGAGGGGATCAGCAGAGGCAACAGAGAGGGCACAGGGACAAGGAGGGAGCATTTGGGACGGGTTGGGAAGGGCAGGTAATAGGGGGAAGCAGCAGGAGGGAAAGGAGAAGAGGTGTCAGCAAGAACACAGGACATGGGGTTCCGGGGAGACAAGGTGGTGGGACCCCAGGCCGGGGAAGCAAGAAGAACCGGATCCATTGGAGTGGCAGGAAACAGGGAGACACAGGGAGAGAGGGGAGACTTAGCAAGGCTGCCCAGGCCGGAGTCTCTCCCCCGCCCAGCCCAGGGTGCTTTCCAGCGCCCCCCGCAAATACCCATCTGGTTGCACACCCTGCAACTGCTGAACCTGCCTGAGAACGGGGCTGTGCAAACAGAGGGTGGGGACACGAGCAACATGCGTGCTGTGTGGACTCAGCATCTCTGACCCTGAAAGGCTGAGCTGCCTCAAATTCCCTAGTCCCGGTTTCAGAACAACACGGAGGGGTGAAGACTGGGGCAGAATTGTCAGCTCTGAGAGGAAGGCAGTTGCTGCTGAATGAGGAGCTCAAAGTGCTGTCAAGGGTGGCTAAGCTAGTTAGACAAGCGCTCTGTGTGTGTGTGTGTGTGTGTCCCCAAGTTCAAGGTCTTACTCTGCCAGGAAAAGTCACAAAACCTCTCCGAGCCCACATACCTCCTCTGTGAACAGGGATTCTGAGAGCGGCTCTGCTGCCCTTATGGGAAACACATTTTGGAAAATGTCATACCTCACAGGCAGGCGAGGGGTGATTTCAAATTAGTAACTGTTTGTGTCATGGCAATGATACAATAATTTTTATACAAGGAGGTGTAGTGTCATGGTTAAGAGCCAGAATGCTTGGGTTTGAAGCCCAGCGCTGCTACCCACCAGCTGTGTGACCTTGGGCAAGCGACTTAATGTCCCCGTGCCTGTTTTCTCGTCTGTAAGGATACAGATAGCGCCTGTCTCATAGGGTGGATGCAAAGATGTCACGTGACAATGTAAAGTACTTAAAACAATGCCTGGTCCATGGAAGGGGTCATGTGTCTTTCTCCTAGGCAGTTTAGCCTCATGCCAATGTGGAGCTGACAGTCTGGTTTCATTTTGGGTACAGAATAGCATGGTAGCTAGGGCCCCAGCCTTGGAGTCAGACCACTGGGGCGTCTCTCCAGCTCCGCCACATTCTAGCTGTGTGACCTGGGGCATGTGACTTGGCCTCTCTGTGCCTCATGTAAATGAGAATATTAAAGCTTCCCTGAAAAGGTTATGTTGGTGCTAGTTGGGAAAATAGACAAAATATTTAAAACTGCCCCTGACACAGTTTGTGTTTAATACATGGCAGCTGTATTACAATTGTTGAGATTGCTATTTTGGAGACAGAAAACTATTGCAGAAATACTGCATTACAGACAGGGAAGTACAGAGCTGGGCACTGGGAGGTCTGGCTTGGAACCCCCGCTCATCACTATTGCTGTTTGATCTTGGGCCAGCCCTGCTCCTTCCTTGGGCATCAGATGAGTTTCCTCAACTGCAGAGTGAGCTCCTTAGAAGTGTTGTGCTTGGCCAGGCGTGGTGGCTCACGCCTGTAATCCCAGCACTTTGGGAGGACAAGGTGGGCGGATCGCCTGAGGTCAGGAATTCGAGACCAGCCTGGCCAACATGGTGAAACCCTGTCTCTACTAAAACTGCAAAAATTAGCTGGGTGTAGTGGCGTGCACCTGTAATCCCAGCTATTTGGGAGGCTGAGGTAGGAGAATTGCTTGAACCCAGGAGACAGAGGTTGCAGTGAGCCAAGATCTCGCCACTGCACTCTAGCCTGGGTGACAGAGGGAGCCTCCATCTCAAAAAAAAAAAAAACAAAAAACAAAAACAGGGCTGATGTTCCAGGATGGCTTCTGGGTTTCTGACTTCCCAGGGTCTATTCTATAACCTCGGGGGTCCGCCTGGGCAGTTCCAGCTACACAAAAGAGCAATTGGCCAGAGCGATGAGGCCTCATGCTGTCAGGGCAGGGCAGGGCAGGGGACACCTGCTCAGCCGGGAAAGCTGGGACCGCCACCCAGGAATCCCAAGACTGCTGCCCGATGGTATGGAAGCTGTTAGGAAACTGGGCCGTGAGAGACTGTGAGGGCAGCAGGCCAGCCAGCACCCTCTGCTGAGGTTTTCATTGGGGGAGGAGGGCTAAGAGTCTCCCTGTCAAGAGTCCACCTGGAGGAGGAGGCTGGGTGCAGGGCAGAAGGGGAAAGCGTGGACTCACCTTCTCGCCTGGTTGGCCCTTTACTCCCTGGGGCAGCCACATGCAACACAGGGTGCAAGAAGGGAAAGGGAGGGAGAGAAAAAAGAGGGGATGAGAAAGAGACACCCACACGAGAATCCATGTTCATGGCACAACAACCAAACAGAAGAAATCACTGTGAAATAAGAAACAAAGCAAAACACAGATGCTGACACATGACAGGTCCACGTCCAACAAGCACAGCATGTGGCATGTGGAAGGCAGCGGCTGCAATGTGCAGCTGCTCCAGATAACTGAGGAACAGAGGCTGGGGCTGTGAGAGGCCCTCTTGAGGCACGTGTGTGTGTGTGTGTGTGAGAGAGAGAGAGAGAGAGAGAGAGACAGAGAAAGCCAGAGAGAGAGAGAGGAAGAAAGAAAGCCAGATAATTGGAGAGAGAGAGAGAGAGAAAAGATAACAAGATCCCACCTAAGTCAGGAAGTCTTCCCCAGAAGCCATGGCCCCAGCTGGCCAGGACACTCTGAGGTTGGAGTGGGAATGGCGGGGAATTGCCCCAGGACTGTGTTGTGATGCTGGTGTCTAGGAGGTTTGCAGGTCCAGCTGCACACCAAGAACAAAGCTTTGCCTAGCTAGACAAGCCTGGAGTCCTTGGGCCTGGCCGGGCAAGGTGGAGGGAGGGGGTGTGGAGAACCACAGGAGGCCAGAAGGCAGGACACACACCTCTGGAAGGATGGAGCATGGGTCAGTGATGCAGAGGAGGCTGGTTAGGCGGCCAAGGGTCCCTTGCAACCACAGTGACCAGTAGATGGACAGTCCCAATCCACCCTGCTCTGGACAAGCCAGTGGGGCCACCTCTGGTAAACCCCAGGGATGATCCAGGCATGTCACACCTACTGGCCACCTCACTGCTTATCAGGTGGCTTCTGCCAGGACCCCTACTGGGCAACCAAATGGGCCCATTGTCACATTTAAAATAGCACCAGCAGCCACAGTGGCTTCCTTCCTAAGAAGGAAGTGGGGAAACCTCCTGCAGCTCCCCTCCTTATTCCCCCAATGCTACAGGGGAGAAGTGTGGACACTTCCTGGGGGAAGGTGTCCACAGGGTCCAAGAAGTAGGACAGGACAGACAGGACGGGGAGGCCCAGAGCTGCCACTTTGCATTTTGCAGCCTTCCCTGTGGCTGGTCTCTGCACTCGGGAGAGGCTCCTGAAGCTTCCCTGGGAGCAGGGACTTTGGGGTCCCACAGTTGGCTTGGGTACAAAACCCAACTCCACCCTATCTCAGGTGCACTGAGTCTTAACATCTTCATTTGGAAGACAGGGGCTCAGAGGGCTATGGTAACGCAGGTGACTGGCTCAGGTCCACATGCTCAGGCCCCCGGGAAAGGATGGCTGAATTACGTTTCCCTGCTCTGTTCAGGGCCTGTGACGGCTTGGGTGGACTCAGGATCTGGAGTTAGAGAATGGAAGAAAAGAGACAGAGCCAGGCAGCAATTCCACCATGCTCTGCTCTGGGAAGTGGTGGGAGATTCACGTGGGGCAGCCCAGGGCTCCCAGCCTCCATGCCTCGATAGACAGGCCTTGGGTGGGCCCTGGAGAGAGCAAAGCTCTGTGACATGGAACTTTCCCTGAACTCTGAAATATCCCAGGCCTCTGGGCTTCATTCTAAGGATCAGACCCTCCTCAGAGCTGCAAGGCCAGTGGGGGTGGGTGGTGAGCGGGGAGTAGTAATAATGTCAGGATCAAGAGTGCAGGTTTGGAGTTGGGCTGTCTGAGTTCAGATTTCTGCTCAGCCACTTCCTGACTGTGTGAGCTTGGGAAGGACATTTAGCTTCTGAGCCTCAGTTTTCTCATCGGAAAAGTAGGGGTGGAAACTGTTGCTTACCTCATGCAGTTCTAGTGAAGTCTGAGTAAGCTAATATAAGGCTCTTAGCACAACGCCAGCAAGCAGTTAGAACTAGCAAGGGTCAGCTTTCATTTGGATGCCTTTTCTCAGCCTCTGAGCACTGGCAGGCTCACACCAGGCATGCAAATTCACACACGGATGTGTGGCCCACTCCTACCGCCAATCCCATGAGATTCTGAGGCAAAGCTGAGAATGACATGGGGGTGGTCAGGGGCCTTGGGGAGCCAGGTGAGGCAGAGGCTGATGGCAAAGTGGCTGAGGCCCTGTCCCAGCCCAGGCTGGGGAGTGGTGAGGGTGGGGCATGGCCATCACTGCCTTAGGCTACTGCCTTTCTAGCCTTTTGTAGACACTCAAGGGCTGCTGTTGGCCTTCCCATTTCTGGGAAACACCCTCTCCATCAACCATTCTCATCTACGCTTCTCCATCTTCATTTTCCAGCAGGAAACAGGGAATATTTTAACTCTCAGCCTCCTTGTGAGGACTTGGAGGCACCACCCGGGGTCAAGCCCTGTCTTCGCCATCTCTTAGTGCGTCTCTGTCTACAGAGAAGGCCTCTGGGAACCCTGGCGCCCCAGAGGGGTTTGCAGGAGCAGCTGTGAATCTGAGGGTGAGCTGTCAGCTTTGGAGGGTGGAGTGGGAGTCCTTCTGATGTCGAGGCTCAGTTTGTTCCTCCCATTCCCAGCAGGTAACTGGCAAAGGGCTTTGTTCATGCAACTTTGTTGGGTTTTTCCTTTGCTGTGGCAGCTCTCTGGAGAGTAAAGCCGTATTGTGAGGTCTGAAGGACAGGAATACAACTTCCCTTCTCCTTCCTTGTCCCTCCCTGAAGCATACTGGGGCCTGGGGAAGGGAAAGAGCTGACGCTCTCCTTGGGCCTGGGGTAGACAGCACATTGCCATGGTTTAGAGGACAGGCCAGCACGGAGAAGCAAGCAGTGGCCACCTGAGCAGGTGCAAATGGGCCAACTCACCACACGTCCAGGCATCCCAATGGCACCTTTGTCCCCCTGATGATGAAGGAGGCAGAAACAGATGTGGTTGGAACCAGGCTAGCATGTGAAGGACCCTATAGGCAAGCTGTGCACCTGATTTAGGGCACAGCTAACCTGGTTTACAGTGGGGACAACATCCTGTATGATGCCCAAGCATCATGTAGGTGCACTCCCTATGCACCTCCCAAGGACTATTCAGCAAGCAGCCACTGCTATGGCACTGAAGGAGTCTGGTCCCAGCCTGGGCCTCAGTTTCCCTATGCCTTTCCAAGGCGTTTGCTCCCTTAGACTTCACTGTTGCATTGATTCCAGCAATGGCCAGGACGTGCCTCATCTTTATCACGCACAACTTCAAGGCACAGAGCAGCGTGACTGGCAGCTCCCATGTGACAGATGGGTGAATCACTTTCCCCGGTCTGTCTCTGCCAGGGCTGGAGAGCAGTGCTCCTCCCTAGCCCCTGGTTTGAGAAAGCAACCTCTGGAGTCTTTCTCCACTCCTCCCTCCTCTCGGCCACCTCCAGTACTGACAGGAAGGACCACGAGCCATGTGGATTCAGCCGAATCACGAGTTGCAGATGCTCCAAGGGAAATGCTTTGTTTTGTAGCCAGGGGTTACATCTTCTCACTCTGGAAATCTGCTTATTAAGTTTTGTTCCTCCCCCTTTTAGTAGAAAATATTTTTTTGCCATCATATGCATGCAGACATCATAAAACCTGGGGTGGGGCCTAAAGTTTGCTAGGAGCCTGGAAGGATGGAAAGCAATAGGGTGCAGAGAGTCAGGTGGTTTTTTCAGCCTGCTGGACAGGAGGGGACTGCATGGGCATTTCTGGGGTGACTATGCATCTGCTAACCCCACTGAGGCACAATGCCTCGAGGAACAATGCGCATCCACAATGTATGTGGGGCACACCTGAGAGAAGCAACTACTTCTGAAATTAGGTTCTTAAAATTAACACATAAGGTCAAGACCAATGGTGGCTTTGAGTAAAATGTTCCACTTTTGCTAAAGAATGGCAGGGTAGCAGTGCAGATTAGAAGTACTGACTCTTCCTTTAACCTCCCTGAGCATCAGTTCTGTGGAATGGGGGTGATAAGACCTTCTTTCTCATGAGGTTGCTGGGAGGATGGCACATGATGCTGTCTCTGGGAAGCATGTGGCCAGTGCCTGGCCTTTGGTGTTGAGTAAATGGCATCTGCTTGGGTAAAGCCTACCACAGCCGCAGGCAGGTGAATTTCATCAGCATGTTTGTACTCCACACCTTTTGCTTTGTACACCAGGGGCTCACATCCATAGTCTTTTTGAGGGTTACTCCTAGGTCTCTTCACATGGAAGCGTCAACAGGACCATGACCTGTGGATCCAAAATTGGCTCTGCCTGCGAAGGACCCCAGGCCAGGACTGGTCGTCGGCTGTGGCAGCCCCATGGTCCACTCACTCTTGGGCTTTTGAATGATATTTCAGGATGTGTATTTTGGTTTCTTTTTCATTTCTTTTTTAAAACTAATGCTCTTTGCAGTCCTGGCCATAAAATGCTTGGGTTAGGGATGGGTGTGGAATGGCCAGGGACTGGAAACTATGTGCAGCAGCCCCTGCTCTGTCAATTGCCCCCTAAATGCTTTTTAAAGGTGGATATTGTAAGAAAAAAACAAAGTCTGCCCACATTCCCCTCGGTCATCTGATGTTTCCCCTCCTTGGATTTCATGGGACCGATCCACCCGTCTTCCTTTGCGCTGGGGCTCTTACTGGGAGAGTTTCCATTTGCAAGTCTGAACATTCCCCCACATGCATTTCATTAAGAAAGCCACTACTAGGCATGAATTTTAGAAGTTGTTGGATTAGTCCAAAGGTTACAGTATAATCCATGTCTAAAAGGGGAGTCATTAGGTAAGAGGGAGGCACATAAGGGTCTGGAATCTCATGGATGTGACCTTTGGTACAGGGAGACAGGGCAGACTGGTGCCAGCCCCAGGCCAGGGTGCTCTCCATACCTGATTCCGGCCCCCTGACAGGTTGCAGCATCTTGCCTGGGTCACTCCCCATCTGAGGGTCCATGGAACACATACCCAGTATTCCATTCATCCATGCCCTGGGCTAGACTCCACAGAGCAATGTCTTAGAATACTTTAAAGATGGGTTTTGAAGGTGGAGCACAGACCACAAGCAACAGCAGTACGGAATGGTGTGTGATGATACGGGCCTCTAACAGGTCCCCATCTGAAGCTTGGACAGATGGACAAACTATTTTACCTTCCTGACTCTCATGTATAAAACAGGTTTATAATCATCCCCATTTCACTGAGGTGTTGAACAAGCCGAATGTGTGACAGGTGATAAATGCAGTACCTGGCTCCTCTTATGGTTTCAATAAAAGATGGCTATCTTTTTTGTCCCAAAGTCCCCGTGGTTACTTGGCACAGTAACTTTCTAGAATTGGGACATGGTAATTGAGGGAAAACAAAGTTCTGAGTCTGCTCTCTTACCAGCAGGCATAGGAAAACAGTGGTTTGAATGTCCGCTGGTATGCAGGGGGATAGTCAGTGTGCCAGTGGGCTGCCCATCCCTGCAGCTGCCCATGGTAGGGTCATCAGTCTAGATGTCAGCTGCAGTTTTGGAAGGATTTGCATGCTGTAATTTGTCTGCCTCGGGCAAAGGGGCACCAAGGGCTGCAGCTAAAGATGCCCCAGCAGGGTCCTCTCTAGATCTTAAAGGAGGAGGGAGCTGAGGTGACTTCACCCTAAGCTATAGATCGGGGATTCTGGAGAGTGGCCTGTCACCCAGATACACATGGAGAAAAACCAGCCACCCAACCTAGCCAGTCTTCAGACTGAGAAACAGCACGTAAAAGAGATACAAAGGAAAGAAGAAACAAAAGTTACTTACTGGGAGTCCGGGTCTTCCAGTGGGACCCTAAATAAAGAGTGAAGTTTCCATAGGTCAGGCAGGGTATTGCAACACTTAACTGTTAAGCACTGTCCCAACCAGCTGTGTGACCCTGGCAAGCCACTTGGGTAGGTCTTTGTTATTTTATGAACAAAATGAAGGGGGAGGCTTGATCACTAAGGCTTATGAAGCTTCCTTCCAGTTCTGGCTCTGAAGACAGTCCACCTGTGTTCACCTCTTGGCTCTGCCACTTACTACTTGGGTAACCTTCAGCAAGTGTCTTGGTCTCCCTGTGCCTCAATGTTCTCATCTTGAAAATGGAAGAATAATCATTACCTATCTGTTAGGATCAAACGAGAGAATGTATGTAAAGCACTGAGCACAGCGGCTGGCATATAGCAAGTCCTAAATAAATGCAGCTATTACCATGATTATTAGAAGAGAAGAGGACGGACCAGAGACGGCCATGGGGCTGGCCTTGGTTTCTCCCTCCAGAGACCCTGCTGTCACATACAGTTCCTCTCTTTCCAGACATCCTGCTCTTCCCATAAACTGAAGGCAGAACCAGGAGTGGGTCTTGGGGTGTTCCCTGGGAGACAAGTCCCTGTAGGGCTGCTGAGAAAAGTTCAGGCAGCACCAGGAGTAAGTCACCCCTTCTAACCTCTGTTCCTGAGGACATCCCCTCCGTGGTGGTGCAGTGACGCCCGCCAGTCGCGGGGGAGGGGGGTCCTTGGGGAACGTGGGGCTACAGACTTCATGGGGACAGGACTTGTCACCATCCCGTCATGTTGCTGGTTTTGCCCCATAGCACTAAAATGTGAGCTCCTGAGGTAGGGACTTTCCTGTTTCATTCACGAATGTGTCCCCAGTGCCTCGGCAATGTGGAGCTCACAGTAGTCCTTAAGACACATTTACGAATCAATGAATCTGCCTGTGGATACCAAGAACCTGGCAACAGCCCTGCTTTCCCAGGCCCCCACAAGGACAGACCAGGCACTGCATCCCTTAAACCAGAGCTTTAGTGCTGAACCAACGCCCTCTTCCTTGTGCTTCTAAACTGCCTGTCCCCTAATGTCACAGAGTGGGCTGAGAAGTGGGGCAGTGACCGCCCATCCCAGGGAAGGGAAGGGGCCAGGTGAGGAGGGTCCAACCTCATGCAGTGGGTCTACTCTGAATAGGAACAGAAGGGGCAATTTGCTTGCTGTGTCCTTACAACCGACACCATCCATATCGTGCCACCCTTATGAGGACACATGAGGGAAACTTATTTCAGGCCCCATTCTCAGGAAAAGCTGTGCTTTGCCCAAGCATCAGGCGCGCTCCTACCTTACTGCAATCCGACCCTTGCCAAAGCTCTGCTTTCCTCTTTGCTCTGACCACCGAGAAGCTCAGAGCCAAGTGTGTGGCTCATCTGCACAGGATGCTGCAGTACCATGGCTCTGGATTCCCCTTGCTTTCCTGCCTCTGTTCTCCACCCCTTACCTCCTGTTTCCTTAGATAGCTTGTAAATCCTCCTAAAATGTTTCTTGGAATGGGATGGGGTAGAAATAAATAAAATAATAAACTCATTAACAAAAATTCACAAAATCATAATTTCTTCCTTAAAATGTAAGGTTTACCCAGACACTTGGGAGGCTGAGGCAGGAGGATGGCTTGAGGTCAGGAGTTCATGACCAGCCTGGGCAACATAGCAAAACCCTGTCTCTAAAAACAAAATTAAAAAAATTAGCCAGGTGTGGGGGCACACGCCTGTAGACCTAGCTACTTGGGAGGATGAGGCAGGAGGGTCACTTGAGCCCATGAAATTGAGGCTTCAGTGAGCTATGATCACACCACTGCACCCCACCCTGGGTGAGAGTCAGACCCTGCCTCTAAAAAAAAAAAAAAAAAAAAATTGAAGGTTTGCAAAAAGTCTTTGGGCATCATTGAGGGAAGCCTTATGCTTTTAGGATTAAATTAATTAATATGTCCTAAGTAAAAAAAAAAAAAAAATATATATATATATATGTGTGTGTGTGTGTGTATATATATATATAGATATATAGTACACACATACATATTCCTTACAACACCCATATGAAGCAGATATCATTACTGTTCTAATTTTACAGATGAGGGGACTGAGGCAGAGAGAGGTTAAGTAACTTGCTAAGGTCACAAAGCAAAAAGTGGCACTGCCAGGATTTGACTGCAGTTGGTCCGGCCCCAGAGCCCATGCTCATAATCACTATGTTACACTGCCTCCATAAAAACATAACAGTGTCTAACACACAGTAAGTGTTAGCTACTATTTCAGCAAGGATCATATTCAGCAAGGCCTGGCAGCTGCTGGCAAATATTTCGCTGTATTCCTTCAGAGAAAGATACATCCCTACTTCCCTTGGTCATCTGTTTTCAGTCTCACAGTTCCCAGTATTAAGAAATTCTCCCTTAAATCGAATCCAGGGATGGCCAATAGATGTCAGCTCGAGCACTGACACCAATGGATTGGGAGTAACAGACTAATGGGTTATGTTAAAAAAGCCTCCTAATTGATTAGCAATGTCTGCCAAGGGCGTGATGGGTGGGGCAGTGGTGGCTGCAAATTTGCTTCCACCTAAATGGTTCCTGCTGCAGCTTTAATCCATTCTGCATGGTTGTGTTCTCAGGCACTGGCTGACCTTGTGCCCACAGGAACCTGGGTCTTCCTGTTGGAGGACAGAGCCAGCCCCCAGGATACACCCAGAGGGCAGCAGACAGGCATCTCAGAGCCCTTCTCTCTGGCCACCAGCATTCTTCTTTTGCAGGAAGCAGAGATAACAGGGCTGAGGAGATGATTCCTGCCCTGGTCAGCTTCCCATTTCCTCCTCCTCTTGCCTTGTGGTTTCAGCCAGCACTGGGCAAAGGTTCAGGGCTCCTCTTCTGCGCTGGGCTCAGAATGAGGGGAAAGCTACCTGGGCCTTTCTCCTTCACTCTGTGGACAAAGACTGAGTGGAGACTCACCCCTTCCACCTCATGGGCTCCTTCAGCACAGACCCCAAGGGGTCTGGGAACAGTCCCTGGGTTGGGCCAGCACCAGCTCTCAGAATGCAAAATTACTATTGAGGGAAGGACCCTCAAGTCAGGCAGGGACTCAGAGCTGTCTTGGCATCCTGGCGCTGGGGGTGAGGTGTATGCAGGAGGCCCCAAGGCAGGGTGGGAACAGTTGAGGGCTCTTGTGGCTTCCTCGGAATAAGACAGGGAAAAGCAGCACATTTCCAACAGGTGAAAGCTCTCTATGAGTTTATTTTGGAAGATGGATGAAGGGAATTAAGATCTGACACACCAAACATGCCTTAATAAATTATCCTTCCTTTCAAGCAATGACATGACAGATCCTGCCTCACTGTGATGTGTCAGGGGGCATGGGATCCTCAGCATGGGTGCAAGGGCCTTTCAGGGCACAAATGGAGTCTTCAGTAATGGCCTTTACTAAAAATTAAGCAGGCAGCTCCCACAGGTACACATTAAGAGGAAAAAAACTATGGAAATGACTTCTCCAAGGAAGGGATGATGATAGGGTTGATTTCAGCAACCTTGAGAAAGATCTGATGTGAGGGCTGGGCCCTTTCAACTCCTATCTCCAGCTCCCCCAGCGCCCTCTGGTCTTTTGTTGGGATATCAAAGACTGGTGCTCCTGTTCTCTGGATCCATTACTTCAGGGAGGCAGTCTCCTTGGGCTCTTCTCAGGTTCTCTGGAAGTGGCTCCACCCCCTGCCCCACCCTGGGTTTCCTAGCAAGGCCAGGAAGGAGTGCGGTGTACTGCCTATAACTTATGTGCTGTCTCCCAGTCTAACTGGCTGACACCGCTCTCCCTCACATAACCACTGCCACCACCACCACCTGCCCAAAGTGACTTGGCCAGAATAGAGCTGCCCACTCAGGGGTGTGGACATGAATCCTCTGGAGCAGACCACGCTTGGAGCCAGCTCGATGACCTGTTTTCTGAGACTTTTCAAGGAGAACTGAGGAGAGATGATCTCTTTTCTTCTTTCTAATGCCTGGTGCTTTTTTTTTTTTTTTTTTTTTTTTTTTTTTTGACTCCAATAGCTTCTTTGGGGGACAAAAGAACTGAGCTAATTAGAGGGAAAGCCATTCTTTTAGATTGAAATTTGGGGCCTGTTTTGCCCTGGGGGCAGCCATTGGCTTGCCCTGGAGGGGTGCAGAGGTGGGTGAAAAGCAAAATGGTAGCCTCCTCCCCACAAGAAGCCTTCTGGAGGGACCCCTCGGGAGCCCGCATAGGCCCTCCCCAAGACAGCAGGGGCCCAGCTTGCAGTGTCCCCGCCCAGAACCCCATTACCAGCAAGTGACACAGGCCTTTCAGATGCATGAGACCCTCGGCTTGAGTACTTACAGGAGGTCCTGAAAGAGAGAGAGAAAATGCCTGGGTCAGTGTCATTGCTGTAGGGGCGGTGGGGAGGCTGCCTTGGGAGCAGCGTCCAAGGATTCTGCAGCGGAGGGGTTTCCATCTGGTCTTCGAAGTTTGTCTTTTCCTGGCCCATTTTCACCAATATAATCTCTTCCCCCTTTATTTCATCTCCATATTTTCATAACTGGATGAGAAATCCAGAGATCTGGGCCCCAGGCTCAGCCCTGCTGGCGACCTGCTGGTGGCCCTTCTGCCTCAGCTTCCCACCCCACAAAATGGGCTTTTTGTGACCTGCCTGAACTTGTGTACAAGGCTGCTTTGCAGAACACGGGACAGTGTGCACACTGAGAAACGTGGAAATAACAGATCCTGCAGAGATGAGGATTGTTAGCATGCCGGTGTCCTCACTGGGCCATGGCAGGGAGGGTCAGCAGGCAGGCAGGGGTGGGCGTGGATGGCCACTGTGTACCCTGCCTGAGGCCCGTCAGCCCATCGGCCCATCGGCCCATCCTGGTTTCTGTTTAACAGTGAGTTAGGCACTTCACCCCTCCAGGGTCTGCCACCCACAGCCTATTTCTCAAAGTCCCCTTTCGGGCTCCGGCCCCACCTCCTCCATGCCTCTCTCTGTTCCTTTCTCTTTCTGGTGTCCACTCCCCACCTCCCTCCCACGGCCGCAGCAGCAGCCCTATCTCATTACTGGCAACAGCCAAGAATGACAAATTCAAGTGTTCCGAGAGGGAGAAAAAAGGAGTAGGGGTGGGGAGCGGGAGGGAAGGTTTAGAAAAGCAGCCCCGAAGGACAGGGAAGGAAAGGCACTTCTTCGAACATGAGCCACGAAACCCCCGCCCTCCCGGCAATTCCCAGCTGGGCCTGGTGTGTCTGCCCGGCCCCTAGTGCCCTGGCCACGTTAACTCAGCTGCGACTCCTGTTGCTTCTTTTATGCTCAGCCAATAAAGGCTCCTATGTTTCCCCGTGCTCCTCCCGTTCCCAGAGCCGGCTTCCTTCTTTCCTCCTTCATCTGTCCGCTTCTCTGCCCTGGTCACCATCCAGGAAGAAACAGCCTCTTTCATGCTGGCCTCTGTCAAGCCATCATGTTAAGCAGGACAAAATGTTTTAGATTAAAAGCAACAGAAAAAGTCAAGAGGTGTAGAGCCTGGGTGAGCAAGCCCCAGGCCCGGGCCTTGCATGCAGGGCCCAGAACAAGCGGGAGGGAGCACGGGGCAGGGGGAGCATCTGGGAGCCATTAGGCTGAGTGGCAGAGGAATGTCACCCAGAATCTGAAAATATCCCCTGAGCCCAGCCAGCCAGAGAGACCAGCCCAGCTGGGAAATCTGTTCCTCCTGGCTGGGGGAGATGTCCTCTGCATGAGAAGCAGGCTGGTGACAAAATTCAGCCTGTGGCAATTTGGGGATGCTTCAGCCACATGGAGGGCAGATGCCTTGCGCCTGCCAGGCCTGATGGGGCCCTGGCTCCCACTGTGGCAGGCTCTGGTGAGGCCCCCAGTGACACAGGCTGGAGCTCTGAGGGCAGCCCTGCCTGTTGTTAGCAGTCTCAGCTGCATAGCTGTCACCAGATGCAGCCAGGTAGCTGGGACAAGACTCGACACTCAGCCAGATTGCAGGAGGAGCAGTTTGCTGGGTCTCCCCCTGGGAGATATAAATTCTACTGAAGATTTTGAGGGTTTTTACATCACCACACTGCCACCACCATTGTCACTGCATAGTCCTCTATGGTCCTTATCAGGTGCCAGGCACAATTCGAGGGGTTTTCCATTATGCAGTAGGTTCTATCGTTCCCACCTTACAGATGAAGAAACTGAGGCACGGGAAGGTTGAGTGACTCCCCAGGCCCATGCAGCTAGTAAATGGTAGAGCTCCGGACCCTTCTCTACAGTGCCTCTCTCTCTGTCTCTCACTCAGAAAGCAACCTACCCCCGGCCCCCCTATTGCCTGCAGACCAAGTCCTCTCCAGGCCTCCCCCTGGGATGCCTGTCATGGTTAGCCTCCAGCCCCCTTCTCTAGACTCAACCCTCTCTTCTGTCTTTCACAGGCACCTTTGTCCTATGCAAGGGAATCTGGCTCTGCCAAGCTCAGCCAGGCTGCCACTCCCCATACCTGTCCCTTACAGGAACTTCAGAAACAGGAAAATCCTCTTTGTGAGCTAATGCTGTGCCATAGGAAGGGGAAGAGATATACGCGTGCTATAACATAAGGCTTTCTCTCTCACAAACCATTTTTTCCCCGGTTAAGGATGGTCTTCATGTGTCCCCCTGGAAAATCTTCAGGTGCCTTGGAAAACCCAACTGCCATCCTGCCCCTGCCAACTTTCATCAAACAGGCCTGCACTGGGACAGCCCCAGGTTTCCAAGCAGATGCTTCCCCTGATGCTGTGTTCAATGCCTGGCAGCTCTAAGATGCTGGGGAGCCGATGGCTTTGCAAAATATAGCAGTGCCTGGATGTCACTAGTTGCTCTCCCATGTGGGCCACTTGGCTGTGCCCATTACCCTGGCTGGGCACCAAAGGATGGAGTCACTCTAAGGCATTACCAAGTCCCCACAGTACAGATGGAGGAAGAGAGGCCCAGGGAGATTCGTGACCATCCAGGGCCACGTTGTGGATGGGTAATGGCGGTGGGACGTTCAGTCTCCTGACTCCCCATCCTGGGGTCTTCCTGACAGAGCACACCATATCTCATGCTGATCCTGCTGAGCTACAGCCCACACTACCACATCTTGAGAGAGGAGGAAGACACCCGGACTCCGCCCATGCACCTGCTGCTTCCTCAGGAGGACACCTGTTTCTTGCAACAGGGAGAACTATGAAGATTGTCCCTGCCCCCTCAGGTGGGCTGAGCAGCCCGCAAGTAGGGCTGTCAGGGGAGGGTCACAGCAGCCATCCAAGGTGGGGACATTCTGCCTGAGACCTCCCTGCTGATGTCTGTCACCCATTGCTTCAGCTTCTTGCTAAGGCCATTACCGTTCTCCCCCGGGGTTTGACCCACCTCCTCCGAGCAAGGCGGCCATGCTCCCCCAAAATGGACACACAGGGATGGACCTCCATGAAGAATTCTGGGGTAGCGTTCTGGGTCGTGCCTTGTTTTCCAGCCACTTTTTGTATGTTTGTTCATTCAACAAACACTTAACAATGCCTACTGTGTGTGAGTCACTCTGCTGGACTATGGCTCTCTAAAGATGAATAAAGTATACTCATTGTCCTCTGAGGAAGGAAAACTTCATTTTTTAAGCACTTATTATCTACCAGGCCTGATGCAAAGCTCTGATGATACAGAGATGAATAACTCATTTCCTCCTCCTGGGAAGTCAACAGTTTCCTATGTTAGAAAGCTGGAGAAATTCCAGAGATGAGAACTAAAACAAACATGAGGGTTGAAGCGAGAAAGGTTTGCTGTAGGAAGATTCACGTTTTCATTCCTTCATTCATTCAATCAACATGTCCTGAGTGCTCATTATGCGGCAGACATAGACACAGTGCTAAGCATGGGAACTATAACCCCACACTTGGTCTTTATGACAGCCTTGTGAGGTTGGCATTGTCACCCCTTCCATAGACTTGGAACCTGAGGCTTAGAGGTTAAGCAACCTGCCTAAGGTGGTCACCTTGCTCTTAGATGATGGCATCTGATTCTTAAAGCTTTAAAAATTTAATTATTATTAATTTTTGAGATAGGATCTCACTCCATTGCCCAGGCTGGAGTACAGTGGTGCAGTCACGGCTCACTGCAGCCTCAACCTCCCTGGGCTCAGGCAATCTTCCCACCTCAGCCTCCTGACTAGCTGAGACCACACACCACACCTGGCTAATTTCTGTATTTTTCGTAAGGACGGAGTTTCACTATGTTGCCCAGGCTGGTCTCAAACTCCTGAGCTCAAGCTATCTGCCTGCCTCGGGCTCCCAGAGTGCTGGGATTATACGCATGAGTGACCACGCGTGGCCTAATTTTATTGTTTAGCTTTTATTTCCATATAGTAGGGCCTGGATTTGAACCTGGTCTGTCTTGCTGCAAAGCCTGTATTCTCCTGGTTGGAGGTCATGAAGTTCTCAGGGGTGGAAGGGGCAGCTGGGCCCTCAGCCCCTTCTAAATTGGGCAGGTAAGTCCCTTCCCCCTCGACCCTGGACTTGGTCCCACCCAGGCTCTGGATCCAGTCCTGGTCCTGGACAGGGGGCATCAAGAGTGGCAGGGTGCTCCCAAGTTCAGTGTCATCTGAGCCATCTTCTGACCCTGCTTGACTGCTGGGCTCCCAGAAGGTGGGGTCCTAGCCCCCACCTATGCCTCCTGGTGCCTGCAGCCGACCACCTGCCACCAGCTCTGCCACATGCCAGACCTACCCATCTCTGCCAGGACAGGTGCTCTGCATCATGGGCTCCCCTCAGACCTTGGGTGACTGATGATATTGGTTACACTCTGCCTGCTGGAGCAGGGGTTCTCAGCTCAGGGGGATTGGTTCCCTAGGGGATAGTTGACAATGTCTGGAGACATTTTGATTTCACAACTGGGAAGCTTCTACTGGTCTGTAGTGGGTACTGGCCAGGGATGCTGCTAAAAAGACAGTGCACAGAGCCTCCTGCCACAAAGACTCATCTAGTCCCACATGTGAATAGTGCTGAGGATGAAAAAACCCCATGCTGGACTAATGGCACCAGACCTGCCTCGGGGCTCTCCCTGTGCCTCAGGCCCCACAATGCACACCCTCACCCAAGGCCCAGCCCTCACCGACCTGTGGTTTGCCAACTCTTGGGCTCCCATTCTTCTACAGTTTGGTCTGTTCCACCTCCACCCAAGACCTCATCAGGACAAATGGTAATTTGTCTGTTATTCATCTATTGAGCATGTACTCTGTGCCGGACACTATGCTAACACCCTAATTTCACTCGGTCTGCCCAACAACCCAGTGAAGTATCGATGGTTATTGTTCCCACTCTGCAGACGGAAAAGCTGAGGCCCAGAGAGTTTATGGTGTGTTCAGGCTGCAGA